ATCAAAATAAGGGGCAGTTTGTATCTCTTAAAAAGAAGAGAGAGCAGCAAATTGATAGACCCGAGGCTCGATCAACTCTAAGGATAGCGTCATCAACACACCTCTCTCCCAGGTTATTTCAATATCATTACTTATATTTTTACTTGTTTAATTTTGTTGAATTTATTTATTATTTTCATATTGTGAATTCACAATATTATTTTTACCATCCAATGTTCTGAACGCACTCGCGTGATCAGCTTGCAATCGGACGCCATTCAAGTAACTTTGTTGACAGTCACGATAAGTTCATGTAAAATTGCAACTTATTACCTTTGAATTGCATCATTTTCACCTCGCTTCTTTCTTTCAATTATAGGAGGTCTTCCTTTAGACAATCTCGATGTCCCAGACATGGCAATGTCGTTCATTTAACAATCGACCATCATCTGAGTGAGTTTATTGTCAATCAAGCCACTTGGTTCTCGATTTGTATGACATCACATTCAAGCCCCATCTTTCCATTGTACTTTTTTTGTTGAGCTTCCCAAGGTAATTTTGATGATCATGAAGTGCTCTCTCGATCAATCTCTCAGTCGTGCGACATTTTGATACTTTCGACAGAGATCGAAGCAATTTTAACCCAATCTAAGTGTATCATACTAGAAATATATCTCGTCAATATCTCTGTATTAATTTGGCTTATAAATATACTTATCTCCCTTGATTGTGTAATATGTAGGTCAACAGACTGCTTCAACAAAGTTTCACAGCCTCTATCACCAAAAAAACGACCCAAGAAGAATAAATGGAAAGAAACAGGGAACGAAATTTTATCATATCAAAAATAGAGCTGAAAGTGTACATGTATACATAATGTTGAGTTGTAACAGACAACTTGTATGCAAATGAATATGTATAAACGTAATAGATGGTAATTTGGTGGGATGTGTGGCCACCACCAGTTTCCTATGATATTTGTAATTGCCTCGAAGCCATTACTAAATGGTTTACGGTTAGATAGAAGAGGCATCAACGCAATTTGATTGCAAGATCCTAGACCCTGAACACCTATTAACATTGTTTGAAACTCAATATCGGACAGTCGAGAATCAAAGCTGGAGAGTCGCATTCAAACAAGATTGGCAGGTTAAGCATAGTTGATGCCATAAAAGGGAGGCCTCAACCTGTAAGATGGGGAGCATCAAGATCAAGACTGAGAGGGAAGCTTAGATCATCTCTCGTGCAGGTCAGGCTAAATTTCATAAATTAAACAGAGAGGGGAAGCAAGACGAGGGTCATTACCTACAGCGGCTCTCTAGCTCCAACCAGCGTACTTAGCCTTCTAGCACCGCACTCCCGTTCCCGTGGATGCTTTGCCGGTAAACTCCCGCCGGGACTTCTGTTGTGGGAACGAGGGTTTCCTGGAGCAGAGGGCGGAGAAGGATGGGGCTTATAATGAAGTTTAGAACCAAGTGCGCTTCGATTTTTATAAATAATAATAATAAAAAAAGGACATGGGAACATTTTAGGCGGGAAACAAATATTTTTAGGTAAATTTACGTATCTAAGATTTAAACTTTAATATTTACGTTCATAGCACATAAATTTTTAACATTAACTCTAAAAGTCAAATAAATCTTCTATGAATAAGTTTACAGCACAAGTGCTAAAAATATAAATATCAAATTTTACATGTGTTGAATATTTTTAGGACGTTAGGTTTTGTATTGTTCGTCAGTTTACACAACACACCAGAGAAACATGTGCAAGGGGGGTGGAGGAACAGAATGGATGTGTTTATTAGAGATGAATTTTATGATCTTATAATGATCCTTCCTCAAAAAAAATAGAGAAGATCATTCAAGGAACGAAAGAAAAAGGAGAGGAAGCAAAGAAGACTCAAAGAGTTAGTGTAAGATCTCCTAAAAAGGACTGGAAGATGAGAGTCCACCCTATCTTGGATCTCTCTCCTCTTTCTATACATGTTAAGAAAAAAATATTGAAGTATAAGTCGCAGTGTGTAAAATATGTCCACGATATTTTAATGACAAAATTGCGACATGAGTATCATAAAATCTTAAATGAGAATCTAATATATGACAATCTTTGTTGTTGGCATTGACAAGGAGTATTGTTGGCATTGACAAGGAGTATTGTTAAGACGAGCTCCAAGAAAAATGTGATTGATCAGTCTGCTAGTTGAACCTAACAATTAAGTCAGTCAGGCCAATCCTGCATGGCAACTGACACCTCAACAAGTGGGGTCAGTAGTCCACATAAGCATATTATTTCAACGATGGCCGCATCCTCTAATAGATGTGCTTATTTTTGCATTTTGACTACTAGACTTGCTAACCTTATGCTTTGGCCCATAAAAACTGATTTTTTTTTTTTATACAATGCTTTGGATATGTAAATCAATAAAAATTGTGGTACATATGTAAAATTTCCCTAAATTTTATGACAATATATCAATAATATAAGCATAATAGCATAACAAATAATTAATTTCTAAATCAATCAATACCAAAGAAAATTATAAATTTAACGTTACATTGGATTCAATAAGCCATGACATTAATTTTAAATTATAAAAACCTTCTCAAAATTTCCCCAAAAAAAATTTTTTTTGTAGAATATTTTTTTATTCTCAATCAACCAAATAAGCCTTAGAAATCATTGATTCGATTTTTTTTTTCTAGTGACTGCAAGTTACAATTAGGGCTGTAAACGAGCCGAGCTTGAGCGAGTTCCTGCTTGGCTCGTGTTCGGCTCATTCGAAATAGCTCGTGTTCGAAATCGGCTCATGAACAGTGTGTTCGTGTTCGGCTCGAAATTGACTCGTTAAACTAAAATTGAGAAAAATAGATGTAAAGTATGTGATTCGAACCTAAATCAAATTTATACAAAAGAAGACACTAACCACATTGCCACATGAGGTGTTATGATTTAAACTTAAACATAAATATATATAATATATTATTATATAAATAATATATGTAATATATTGTTATATAAAAAGTTATATAAATTTTTTTTTCGAGCCATTTCGAGCCGAACACGAGCGAACAAACTGTTGGTCGTGTTCAGTTCGTTTACATTTCGAGCTTACAAATTTCTTCGTGTTCGGCTCGTTAGGCTTAACGAACGAGCCGAACACAAGCTGTTCACGAACAACGAGTCAAATTGACAGCCCTAGTTACAATAGTTAATAATTTGGTAGTGGCAAGCGTAAATGCAAAAGATTTACTACCAAAGAAATAATGCTTGAATTCATGGTCGCGTAAGTAAAAATCGTATTAATATAGTAATAAAAATAATTGACCTACGCATAGAATTTCACTCTCAAAACAAAAACTTGTATATTGCGAAGCCTTTCGAAAAGTTGGATAAAGAGTATTCTCTGCAATTAGGAGACCCTAAATTCAGAGCCCACTCAAAACTATTAATTTCTAACATTATTTCCACTGAAAGGTTGCCATGGAGAAAAATATACGGGCAATAAACGCAGGCCGTAAGGTCGAACCTAGCCGTATTTTATCAAAATTTTCACAATGCCACACGACCTATTTTCCAAAAGGATCAAATGTGGTTTTCAGGCCGCACCAAACAGGTCCTAAGACTCGAGTTTGAGCATCTCATTTGCTGTTAAATATTAATGCTAAAAAGCAACTTCTCTAATAAATTGCATCATCTAAGGGTGAGTTTGGGGCAGCATTCCAAGAGTTTTATGTTTCATGCCCTCACCACAATCTTGTTTGGGTCATTAATGTTGCGGCTGTATGAAAACTATTGTCTGATTTATATATGTATCACCGTAATTTAAATAAAAAAATTGTTTTCTTAACTACTTTTTTAGAAAAATCGAATCACCCCCAAAAAGAACCGTACGTTTAAAATTTTAATGAGAAAATATGCAAATCAAACCAGTACAGGGTCGGACATGTATCTTCAAACCTTTAAATGTATCTCATATGTTCCTTCGAGAATCAAATGACTGTTCATTTGGTTCTCAAGTTCATGATAATCAAGGCATGGAAAGTCCTAAAAAGCATTTAGAAAACCAATCCGATTGCATCTTTGTTCACTTTATTTGGAGAATTGCTCAACTCATTTAATAATTTCCCAAATCAAATGTCTACAAGTTTAACAAATTAAGATCTACTGGGTGTTGCTTGCTTTTTATAAGAATAGTTGTAAAACTACTGTGATAAAACAAAATTTTTCAAAGCTCTAGATATTATAAATATTATAAGAAAAAAAATCAGACAAACTTTCTTAAATCTACCACTCATTCATAAATCAAATTACAAGAACCACCTTTCTACTACAAAAAAATTTAAAAAAATGAAAAACAGCAAGAATATGTACCACCCAATTCCTATGTAATAATATACCAACCATCCAAACTTCAGTTTTTTAATCTACAGACCACCAGACTCCTATATGTTCAGCATGAATTAAATGATAAAAATTGAAGTTTATGGGGTAGAAATTGGGCGGGTATGAATGGAAATCTCCAAACAAAAAAAAAAATAAAACTAGAGAAATGAAAGTGAACTCTAATTATAAAACTTTCACATAAATGGATCACCAACATTCTTTTTTTTTTCCTAAGAAAAGAGCAGAGAAATATATTTATTGCCATCCAGCAAGACCAACTAAAACCAGAGGCATATGTTATCTGTCTCATAAACCAGCAAACTTCCATGAACAATCAATAGGAATTACAAGTAAGAACATAAAAAGAAAGGAAAAAAAAACAATAGCTTAATGAGTCCCCCTCCAAGAAAACTGTAGTCGTATCAATTTCAGAACAAAACATTTGCCTAAAAATCAAAACTTTTAATCATACGGAGAAAGAAATTATGAACCATGATCAAAACTGTAATCTTGATAGAACAGCATAGAATCAAACCTCATTTTTCGGTACCTTTTCACTACACTCTGACAATCTACATATTCTCTATTCTAATAACAACTCAGTGGCAGCCAGAAATCAAAATCCTCAGCCTAAGCAGGAAGCCATGAATCAGTAACATAGCAGCCTGCTAGAATCCTCTTGAACCGCCATGATCCTCTGAAACTTACAAGAACAAGAATGCAAACCTTAATCAATCAATCATCAAGCTGCTTGAGCTCAGCCTTAAGCTGCTCCATCTTAAGCCCCATGGACCGTTGCAGGGCCGATCTACCACTCTCCGGCAACCTAGCAAGCAAGCCCTCGAACATGTCGAACACGGACTTGACAGCCTCGCGAGCACACTCGGCCTCCTCGTCGAAGTATACCGTTTCCTTTGACTCCAACGCCGCGTCGATCTCCTCCCGAGCTTCTGCGAACTTGAGGTTTATTTCGTCTACTTCTTTGCCATAATCGATCGGCGGGTTGCTGCAGAAGCCGCGGAGAAGATGAGGATTCGGCACTCTAGGGTTGATCGTGAGAGAGCAGAGGCTAGAGATTTGGTAGGGCGAAAAGGGCTTTGTGAGAGAGGAACAAGTGTTGGAGATGGAGGGAAGAAATTTGGGTAGAAATTGAGGTGAGTGTGTCGATGAACGCTGAAAAAGGCTGAGGGTAATGGATCTCTGGAGGATAGAGCTAGAGATTCGATGCATTACTGCCTTCAGCGAAGGGGATGGAAAGCCAGAAAGCGAAATTAGGGTTTCTTGTTTACCTTACTCGCAAGTCGCGATGGAGTACGAAGGGGGAAAAAATTGCGTTTTCAGAATATATTTTAATTTTTGTTTAAAAAAAAAATTAGGTGGGGCCCATCAAAATACATACTGATCATAGATCACCTGATTTACGGTCAGGATCGGACACCGCATGCATCTTGCATGCGGTGTACGTCCGTATGGAATAATTTTTCAAAAATTTGAGATATACACAGCACTGAAGGAGGAAGTCACTTCATCGACGGCTCACCTTAACATAAATAATCTTTTTGACGCGTGTGACCCGTCGCCTAGCCCGCGACTGTAAGAAAAATATAACCATATTGTACCCATGTCATACCTCTTGCAGTAATCTCATATGTAACGCGCGTGTAATTGCTTTGTAACTCAGTTGTAACTTTACCGCTATACCGCGGGTGTAACCTGATGAAACTTCTCTGTAATGTCGTCCTCGCTAAATGAGAGTTATATCATCCTTGTAACTCGATTATAACCGCGGTATAACAGACTATGAAGACGGTATAGTGAAACAACACTTGTAACCCTCATTGATTAGAGATTACACCCTTCGTGTACCTGTCATGCAACAGATGATTAAGCTCGTCCAATTGGAACCGCGCGTGTACCCTGAGTGTAACTGCGATGTACATGATTTAAAATTAGTGCGTGCGAAGCATGGTATTTAAGCAGCTAGGTTTACTGTTTAATTGTTCTCTGGTCATTTTCTTCTGCAGCGGCAGCTGGACCTGTTGAACTTGAAGATGGAGTACGACTACAGAGACTGTCAGTTTATGTATGACGCAGAAGGAGAAGATGGAAGCTATCCTGCTATGGAAGAAGATGTGGAACTTAAAATGAATGTATGTTTGGAGATATTTTATTATTATATTTAGTTAGGGTTTTTTTAATGTTTTTTGTTGTTATGATTTTTTATTTTTATTTTTAGGATGTATCTGTATTTTTTTAGGTGTATGTATGTTGTGTTATGTTTGTAGAGTTGCATGGTATTAGGTTTAATAAAAACAGTGAAACAAACAGTGAAGTAAATATCCTAGGTGCGGTGGCAACTTTCTGGTTGCAATCTGATTTTTCCAAAAAAATAAAAATTTGTAATTGCCACCGTACCTAACTTATCAGTATATTATTTTTGATCAGTTTATCAGCTGATTATTCAATAAGTTGCAGCTGCCCCAAACAAACCCTGATTTTTTAGGTCATTGAACTCAGCTCGTTAACTACTCATCGAGCTGAGCTCGAGTTAGCTCACAAGTCGATATGGCATATATTTATGAGATTAAAGTATGATAAATATAAATATTAGATTTTGAATATTAAATATTAAATATCAAAAATGTGTCATCAAGTCAACTATTATGACTTCAGCTTAATGTAATAATGAAATTTCAGATTAGTTGAAACGCAACCCTTAGCAAAAATAAACTACTCCTCTCAATCCATTAAACTAAAAAAAATAAAAAAAATACCTTTGCAAACAACTCCACGCATGGACCTCATTATAAATACCCCAAACATCATTCTATCTTCAAACTCAAAATTACAAAAATGCCTCATCATCTTCTCTTAATAAACAACAACACTGCCCTCAATTTTATCTCAATTTTAGCCAAAGCCAACATTGGTTGGATCTTATTTCTACTCTTTTCCGTCGTGATGATTATGGTTTGTGCTTCTCATAATCATTCGTGGGGGTGGCTGAAAGCTCGTGATCGTGCGGAACTCGTCATTAGCAGCCCTCAGCTGCAGCCTGAGGTGAATTGTGAATGCAAATGTGAGGACAATGAGGAAGATGATGATGCGTGCGTGTGGAAGAAGGATATTATCATGGGAGAAAAGTGCCGACTCCCTGATTTCTCGGGCGCAATTATATATGATTCTAAAGGGAATCTTTTTGTACCTGATCGAAGAGAATCATTGGCTAATGCTTGAGCAAATTGCTGCTGAGTTTAAAGTAATTGAAGAGTAATATGGTATCTCTATTTATGTTGTGTTTGTGTTATTAATTTGTGATATAATCAGAGGACAAAATGTTGGTGGCTCTTGTTTTTACAGTATTTATAGGTTATAGATTATGATGAATTCGAATGTCTCCATTGGTCTTTTTTGAATATCATGAAGGGAAATTTCATTTTCTTTTCTTATAATAATGAATAATGGATATATGGGTATAATGTTTATTTTTTTAGAAAATTGAGACGGCAACAACAATTTTTTATCATCTTTCATGAATCTTGATGAATAGCAAGGATTTTGAGGAAACCTTCTGAGCAATAAATATTCAAACATCGATGAAAAGCCATCTAAAGCTCTAATTTCAGCAAACTTACAGTAAAATTGGCCGACCCAACGAGACGAACCCAAGGATATCAAACTTAGTTCAATCTAAGTCAAACAAAGCTTAGATCAAGTTATTAAACCACTATTAGAAGTTTTTAGTACACTTTTGAAAGGTCAAACGAATATTGAATCTGGAAAGCTTATAGTTGAATTGAGCGTCTCGACAAGTCAAATCTGACGAGTCCAATATCGCTCAATTCTAACATTCTTAAGGCAGTCAAATGTACATCAAACATCGTCTAATCAAAGAAAACTCTATGGACTGTCCAATTAAAGAGGTTCATATTTCCGCATTCATTGTACCCGACCTGGAACTCTATAAATAGACCCCCACCTCTCTCATGGATGAAATTAAGCACCGTTCCAGTCGTCGTCGATCACCAACAACCACCGCTAATTGTTGTTGATCGCCGCCGACTTACGTCGACCACCACATTTCGCCCTTTGTCAATCGCTATTGGTTGTCGTCTGCTCCTTCCAATAAGTTCATCCACGCGTCGATATTGAAATTTGGGAGACTTTGTAATTTTTTTCCCATCTATGGGGCAAGGGGATGTACTTATAACCTTCAGTTTATAATAAACTTTTTCAATTGGGCCAAACCCCGCAGTTTGATGTGTTTATGTGTCAAGTGTTACCAGTGACTTTGAAGGGTCAAGCTCGCACATGTTTTACTCCCTCACCGGGGGGGGGGGGGCCCCACCAATACTCTCAATACGCTTCAATACTTTCACTAAGCTTGTCATGTTATTTGTAAATTAATTCATAGAAAATAGATGAATGATTAAAGATTCATCGCACTTATTAAAAGTCTGTTTGAATAAGGGAGAATCCTTCAAGGAATACTTGCTTAGTTTCTTCATTGAAGCTCATCAAATTTCGAGAGTAGATCCAGAGTTAATAAAAAAAGTCTTCCTTAGAGAGCTCCACCTAAGACCTTTTTACTCATCTCTGATGCGGAAGATGGTTCACTCTTAGTCTTGTCTTTTGTGAAATTCAGGACAAAGAAAACACAGAAATCGACACAAAACCAGAAAAACGCAGAGATTTAACCAGGTTCTACAAATATGCTTACATCCTCGGGTGCAGAGCTGCGAATTCACTATTTTAAATGAGTTACATACTCATAGGGTTACACATCTATTTATAGATAAAACCCACAAATAATTATAAGCACACCCTCGCTCCCCCCAACCCACTAATCCAATAGACACACCTCTTCACACCAAGAGACACGCATCTTAATTCCAGGAGACCAACCTCTTAAAATCCAAGAGACTCTAAATTCCTGGTATATGAGTCATACTTAACAAATCTTCACCTTGGTGAATATCCAGCCCCTTAGGAGAAAATCTCTACCTTGCGAATATCCAGCCCCCCTTAGGAGAAAAACATCACGGAGTTTCTTACACCAAAGTGGGTTGGGCAACCATGCCAACTAGCAATAACCAACATTCAACAAGTTCAAGTAACACAAGAACTAGGAGAAAATGTCTGGCTTGGTCAAAATACTTGCTGCATTTTCATCATATGATCCGATAGAGTGAACTTCACCTACAACTGTACTCCCCAACAGTTTATAGATATTACGATTTATAGATATTACTATCAGGTTTCATAGCTCGTAATGTCTTCAAAATTTCTTGTTGTGCCAACAATCTGAAATTTCTGGTTTCATCAAACTTCATTATCTCGAATTTTGCAACAGACATTGTCATTTGAAATTAATCATACAATGAACTTTTCCTGCCTTGTATTGAAAAAAAAAACACACCACAAATAAATTTAAATAAACCTGAAATTATCTCAATCAATTGCAGCAATTTTCTCGCAGTTTCCTGTGATTCGTGAATCAAATTTTTCACATGAAACACATTTTTTATTCGCACAAAAATTTGGCTGAAATACTGCGGACACCGGCCAAACTCCACCTGTCACAATTTCTCCTGTGACAAACCTGTGAACAATCCGCAAATTTTGCAAACTCCATTGTTCAAAAACCGCCTGTCGAAACTCCACCTGCCGTAAAATCTTCTGCGACAAACTTGCGAACTCCGCTGACGAATACCACCTGTCGCAATTGCACCTACCGCAACTCGTCCTGCGACAAAATTGCAAACTATGCTGATCGAGCACCACCTGTCACAACTACACCTACCGCAACTCCTCATGCGACAAAATTGCGAACTCCGCTGGCCGAGCACCACCTCTCGCAATTGCACCCGTCGCAACTCTACCTGCGACAAACTTGCGAACTCAGTTTGTTGAGTACCACGTCTTGCAGCTCCATGTTTTGCAACTCCTCCTGCGACAAACTTTCGAACTCCGCTGGTCGAGCACCACCTGTCGCAATTGCACCTGTCGCAACACCTCCTGCGACAAAATTGCGGACTCCGCTGGCCGAGCACTGCCGGTCGCAGCTGCACTTGCCGCAACTCTACCTGTGAAAAACTTATGAACTCTGCTGGCCAAGCACTACCTGTCGCAACTGCTCCTAACACAACTCCTGCGACAAAAATTGCCAACACCGCTGGTCAAGCGTCACCCGTCACAACTGCACCTGCCGCAACGCTACATGCGACAAGCTTGCGAACGCCGAGCACTACCTGTCGCAACTCTTCTTGTCGCAACTCCTGCGACAAATTTGTGAAATTCTATGTTCACAAACGCTCATGTTCGCAACAACTGCATGCGAACTCATGTTCACGAACTCCACCTCGCCGAATGCCACGAAGGTTCGTGAAACTAACAAACTTTGTCGTCGCACCAATAGAGGAGTATTCACTTCAAATAACCAAAGAAAAAAAATCTTCCTATCTCCAGCCTCAACCAAAGGAAATCAGAGGGACTTTAAAGAAAAAAAAAACTTTACTTTCCTCATATATCTTCCCTCCTATCAAGGGAATATTCCTTTATTCCTTCAAAGAAAAATCTTTGCCTGCCCGCTGGCTATCCGCGAAGGAGCTGTTGCTTGCCCGTGCCTGCTCGCTAACCAAGAGACGAACGCCGTTGTTTGCGCGAACTGCCGAACAATAACCTTCTGTCTGCTTCGCACTCCTCCGCAGAAACCTCGCGGATGCCTAATCCAAACTGTGCGAACGCTTGTAACTATCGCTGGCCCTTTCGAATCCTTCTCGATTGCAAGCAACGAACTTCCCGACCGCAAGCAATGAAATTCTTCTGTCGCGAATCCTGAAAGACATGGTTTGCAAAATCTCCCGATGCCACCGAACTACAGAACTGCCGGCGAACTTCCTCCAGAGTCCCGAAAAAATCTGCGCCGCAGGAACTCTTTCGTGCAAGCGATCCGCGCCTGTTCACAACCTCCTCTACGAATCACACGACAACTTCTCCATCCTTGGTCGAAAATGTAGTTTGCAAACTGCTTTGCGATGTCGCGATCCTCTGTGTACCGCGAACCCCTTACCGAAACAGCCTTGCTTTTCGCCTGGTCGCGCGACCTCTGCAGATCTGATTGCCTGTGTCGCACGAAGTTTGAGAACCTCAACTGCTTGCACGAACTCCCCAGCTGCGGGAACTCCTTCACAGTCGACGATTTGCGAACTCCTCCACCGTGAGATTGAAATTTGGATCCCGCTTGAACAATCCCTGTGGCGACGATTTGCTTCGCGCGAACTATCGTCCCATTCGCGCCTGTTGAACCGTCCGCAGTTATTTCTCTGGGCCGAAATCAGAACTACCTGTAGTTCTTCTTTCTTTGTCTGCATCGATTTCCTCCACTCTAGAATCTAACCACGCTCTGATACCAATTGTTATGAAATTCAGCGCAAAGAAAACACATAAGTCGACATAAAACCAAAAAAACACTGAGATTTATCGAGGTTCAACAAATATGCTTACATCATCGGGAGCAGGGCATCGAATTCACTATTTCATAGGAGTTACATACCTATAGGGTTACACATTTATTTATAGATAAAACCCACAGATAATTACAAACACGCCCTCACACCTCTCTCCCCCCAACCCACTAATCCAAGAGACACACCTCTCCAAATCCAAGAGACTCTAAATTCCTGATATATGAGCCATACCTAACATTGTCCATCATGTTGAAGCTCAAGTCCCATGGATGTTGAAGCTAAGGTTCTAAATGAGCCTTAATTGAGAAAGTTGTGGCTTATTCATAGCTCGTTAAAAATTTTTTACACATGAATAACATATTTGTATTCAGCTCAGCCCGAGCTAAATTCGAGTCGTCTTATAATCTAAAGAGGAATGAACAAGAGAGACCACCTCAGATAGAACAAGAGAGACCACAACCATCACATTTTTCATAAAATCAAAATTGGACTAGCAATTCTCTCTTTAAATTTTTTAAATCACCACTTACCAACCTCTCTGTTTTCTCTTACCGACAAGCACATAATATTGGCACTGCTTGTGCAATAATTTGGCGCTCGATCCGATGCTTGAGATAACAATTGAATGGGACTCTGACATTTTAAAGAAGGACTTCAAAGCCAAGCAAATTGATTTTAGGGGAGATAGATAGTTACATTGATTCGTGGCAATCAATGGATAAAAAAAAGAAGTAATTTGAAGTTAACCAGGCTCTCTCCCCCACAATTTTGGACGCTTGACCCTTGGAGTAGCATCGAGAGAAAAAAAGATAGACTGTGGGAGTCATCGGAGAACACTTGCAGCCATCAATCAAGCTTCACCGCAATTATCCTTAGAATGGTGTGAGAGTGCGCTGAGAGTTCTCTTGAGAGAAAATAAGTGCATGTGTGTGAAATTATCGTACTCAAAAGACTGAAAACTATAAATTTTATTATAATTTATTGTGAATCAATTGGGAAAATTAGTGAGATTTTCTTACACTGTTTAGTTTGATTTTTGCAATGAAATTTGTGTTCTTTTCATCCATAATGAGGAACACATAAATTTCTTTCTCCCTTGCATTATATGCAAATCAATACCATTTTTTTATGCAATTGCGTGTATTTTGGATTTAAGTTGATTGTTTAACATTATACATGCAATTTACTCGTAAATTGATTACTAGAAATAGAATATGATCTAGTACTACGAGAGTAGGATGACAGAACAACTAAGTTAGCATATACTATTTTAAAAGAATATAAATATTGGGCAATAGTGTAGGAAAATTTGCAAATACGTGGGGTTTTGCTGGGTTATGAGACTAACTGTAACACAAAACTCCAAGTTTCTTATTATCATTGAAAGAGGCCAAGGAAAACCATTGTTCGTGATTGTTAAATTCATTATAATCACATAGATAGATTGGATTCATCTAGAATCAATTTATGGGAGACTTTTTATCAAATGTTTAAACTCAAAATTAGTTACTTTTTACAGAAATTAGGGATATAAACTTTAAAATCACAAACTTTCAAACTTTCAAGTTAGACCCAAAATTAGTATATTAGAATTTTTTTTTGTATTTTGGGAGTTTACTGGTTCCCCGCGGGATCAATACATAAACTTAATTTCATATACTATTTGGTGAACACATACATGAGCGTATTGTCGGTGCTTCACAACACTCGGTTTTTATCAAAGGGGTCAATACTCTAACTATAGAGTATAAGAGATGACTTCTTGCAAATAATGAAGGAATATCACTATATCACACAAATCGAGGAGATTTCCTCGATCAAACAACATTTGATAAACATTTAAGTGCCTTAATGATGTCAAAACTAAATGATTTTGAATTTATTTGATTCGTCTGATCGGGACGCTCAATTCAACTATAATCTCGTGAGATTTGTAACCTTTATGACATTTTACTTGGCAAACAAAAACTTCACAAAAGTGGTGTAATGACTTTGTGCGAGCTTGATTCAACTCGTATTGGATCAATTATGATGTTATTGTGTTCGTCTTATCAAGCCGGTCAGTTTAACCATGAGTTTATTGAAATCACAATTCTGGATGATCTTTAATTTAAGTGTAGATATTTCTTATTTAAAAGTTATTTTAAAATTTATGGTAATTTTTTCGAGATTCATGGCAAATGCTAAATTTTTTATTGAGATATTCAAAAATAGATTAATAAAGAAAGGTTTACATACGTGCAAGGGGGCATTTGACTGCAAGGATTATTTAAGTTAAATAGAATTTAGTAAATTCGAATTTATTAAATCTACATATTATTAAATCTAAAATAATATTTGATCCAATTAAGTTAAATTCAGTTAAATTTATTTGAGGTGTTTATAATAAATTTATTTAAAATATTATTTATCTGATTAAATTCAGATTTATTAATCAGATAAAACAAAAATTAGATTTAATCTAATAAATTTATAATACTTGCTGGATTTTAAATCCAACTTTAAACACCCTCTAATATTTAAATATCTAACACCTGAAGATTTTTTGATGCCGTTTTCTCTTCCCTCTCCGTCGAGCCCGCGAACGGAAAAAAAATCACTGCTATTTTTAAAATTTCTCATTTTGCTTCATCAAGGAGGAGGGCTTATAAACCCTAACCCTAATTAGCAAATCGCTCGACACCTGCTTCTTTCGGCTTCAATGGCGGCCCCTACCATGCCTGCTCCGCCTTCTACCTCCTACCCCTCGACCCCACAGCTGTCGCCGGGGCCTGTCCAGGGCGGGACTTTCGGCAGTGCTTCGCTGTACGTCGGAGATCTCGACAAGACAGTTACGGAAGAGCAGCTCTTCGAGCTGTTCAGTCAGGTCAGCTCCGTCGTTTCAGTGAGAATTTGCAGGGATCTGATCAAGCGGGTGTCACTTGGTTACGGTTATGTCAATTATCACACACCGCAGGAAGGTATTTTTATTTTTATTTTTCTTTGGAATTTATTGGGTCAGTGCAATGCGCAAGATTTGTGATTGCGGGTGTTGTTGTTTTTGAGTTATTCGGTTCTGATTCGTGTCGAGTTTTTGCGTTTCGCAAATATTTCTATCTATATCTGAAGGTCGTTGTATTGGACTGGGTGGCTGTTTGGTAGCAGGATTTAATCCAAATCCTGCCAAACAGCAATAAGGACAAATTTAAATCCTACAGCATCTAAACCTGGCTTCTCCTCCGATTTGCCTTAAATTAGGTCGATTTACGGGATTTAGCGGAGCTGAAGCGCGCGAAGGAGTGTTGGAGGAAGGAAGAGAAAGACTAGGGTTAGTTGGGTAGGAGCGGAGAGGAAAGGGGAGTTTTACAGGAGTTTCAAAGATCTTTGTAAGTGGCGATCGGAAAGGGGAGTTTTACGGGAGTTTCAGAGATGTTTGAAAGAGAAATAGGATTCGTTATTAAATATAATTTTTTTAAGTTAATTTTAATCAATTAATAATGAATAACCATTAATTATATTATTAAATTAGGTACATATTTTTCTAGTTGGTTCTAATTATATATCAAGTACAGTTATATAAATTTACGGGTAAATATTTTATAATTAATTAATATAAATTAAATTACATATTAAGTTTAATTAATTTATCAAATTTAATTAATTATATGTAAATTAATAATTATTTAACTATTGATTAGTTAATGCATAAAGGTTTTGCTTGATAAATAATTAATTTTATAAGTCATTGTTAATAATTAATTAGTTTGGTATATAGTAAATTATTTATCAACATATTTAGAAATAAAATTTAAATCAAATTTAATTATAATTAATAATTACATAATTAATATATAATTTTAAATTTATATTTCAACTAACAAATTTAAATTCTAAAATTAATTTCGAAACAGTTGAGGATTTAAGTGTAGAATTTAGGTAGTTCTCAAGAATGCATGAAAAACACATGAAACAACTTCACCTAGTAGCCTTTGACTTTGCAACCAAGGTTGGCGAGAAAATTATCTTCACATCATAAATTCTTCCTACTTGTAGATTAAATTTTGATGTACTATTCTAAGAGAGTTATTATTCTCACAATCATCAATTGGATTTGGTTGAGGCTTTACAATACCTAAATCCATCCATGCTAAACATTTGATTTTAACAAACACCATCCCTTTTTTATTGTAGTGCTGGTTAAAGATGTTGAAATACCATTGCCTTGCGATGCCCATCTTCTATTTGGAGCCTTATGCTTGCAAGAAACAGTATCCAAAATCGCACCTCCCAAAACAATAAAAATAGATTTAGCAATCGTTCCAATTACATTGGTGTTTGATGTGATCTATATTGTTTATTTTTTTGCTTTCATGTCTTATCACTATAACATCACTGGTTATTTTCAAACTATCTGCATAAAATATTGAGATGCAACATTTTTCTTCAAACTATCTGCATAAAATATTGAGATGCAACATTTTTCGTCAAATTTTTGAATTGAGATTATTTTCTTCTTTTAGTCAGGATCTTGCTTCACATTATGAAGTGACAACAACTAAATTAGATATAAATATTAATTGCACAATGCAAGAATTAATGAATCCTAAAATTAAATATTATAAATTTTCTCCTAAGTAGACTTTCATGGATCTTAGTGATGAGAAATAAAGAAATAATATCAATAATTGTGGTGCATTTGGTGGTGGTGGGGGTGGACATGGCTGGAGGTGTGATATTGTAATGTTAGAATTGGAAAACAAATGCTTTGGAGAAATGTTGGATGAGATATCTACTAAAGAAAAGTTAAAAAAAATTAGTTATGCTTTATTTGCGGCAAACATGCTAAAAAACCATTCATTTGTGATTAAACTCATTTGACATGGCTGGAGGTGTGATATTGTAATGTTAGAATTGGAAAACAAATGCTTTGGAGAAATGTTGGATGAGATATCTACTAACGAAAAGTTAAAAAAAATTGCGGCAAACATGCAAAAAAACCATTCATTTGTGGTTAAACTCATTTGACATGGCTTTAGGTTTTATTCTATATATGGAGAGATGTGCCAAACATAGGTTTAGGTAGCTTTGGCATGTAAACTTACAAAGTTGGTCACTTAATGTTAATGTAGAAGAAATAAGAAATGAAATACTAAAGTTAATATAACTAGATATTGTATAGAAGACCTTATAATATGCTTATCACCTTCAACAAGAATGAGTGGTTTAGGGATATGAGGGTTGTGTGGGGGGAGGGGGGCGGGGTGGTAGCACTGTAGGTATGTGTGCATATGGGAACATCCATCTATTGACATATTTATTGGTGGGAGAGAGGCAAAGAGGAACAATATACAATGCTAGAAGTTAGCGAAAGATTTCATGTTATGAATTTGCATTTTTTTTTTGCTGGGTTTTAAGTTGGAAAAATATACAATTCTTGAAAATAACTGTAATTTATATGTTATCGAAATGTAACTTTTTTTTAAGTATAGGTTATTTAGATGTTGGATTTATGAAAATCACTCCCTTATGAAAAAATCAAGAAAATATATGGAGGGCCAATCGACTTTGCTGATGTTTAAAAACATATATTTAATGGATCAAAGCTTATTTTGATTGTTTTGTTGATTAAAAGTAGCACACAATGCCTGTAGAGATATGTGAGCATGAGACCCACTACAAATAAAGATATAAAACTAGCTTACATAATGAATTTCATGCAGAAATTTAGTGAATACTTTGCTAAAAAATGTCATTTGCCATATCGAAACCCCCATCACGTCTATCCTTTGAATCATGAACCATCATTCTTAATATAGCTCTTAAGTATGTTTGACAACATATTTTTCCACAAATATTGTTTGTTTATATTTGATAAGTTTATTTTGGATAATGTTTTTGTTTTCCACATCTTTTCGGTCAAATTACTATTATTTCACTGGCCATTTAAAGTTTGCTAACTTTTTTATTTTACTCTTTATTTTTAGCTAGCCGTGCCATGGAAGTTTTGAATTTTACTCGATTAAGTGGGAAAACTATTAGAATTATGTTCTCGCAACGTGATCCTAGCATTCGTAAAAGCGGATACGCGAACATATTTATAAAGAATCTTGACACAACCATTGATAACAAGTCTTTGCTCGATATCTTCATGTCCTTTGGACCTGTTCTTTCGTGTAAGGTAGCAGCAGACAGCAATGGCCAGTCAAAAGGATATGGATTTGTACAGTTTGAGAATGAGGATTCAGCTCAAAAAGCTATTGGACAGCTTAACGGTATGCTTGTAAATGAACGAAAAGTCTATGTTGGCCTCTTTATGCGTCGACAAGAGAGAGATAGAGCGAATGGATCTCCTAAATATACGAATGTTTATGTAAAGAATTTACCTGAGACATTTAATGAAGAGGACTTGAGAAAGGAATTTATTGAATTTGGTGATACTGACAGTGTTATAATTATGAGAGATTGCCATGGAATTTCAAGGGGGTTTGGTTTTGTAAATTTTAGGCAACCGGGCGCTGCTGCTGCTGCAGTTGAAAAACTTAATGGAAAAAGGATAAATGATAAGGTATTGTATGTTGGGAGGGCTCAGAAAAAGGCTGATAGAGAGGCTGAACTGAGAGCTAAATTTGAACAGGAGAGGAATGGAAGATTGGAGAAGCTCAAGGGGGCTAATTTGTATCTCAAGAACCTTGATGACACGGTGAATGACAAAATACTTCAAGAGCTTTTTGCTCCGTTTGGCAAAATTATCTCCTGCAAAGTAATGATTTTGATGGTTTTTTCATCCAATTTTTTTAGGGAAATTTACATTAGTAGCACACTATTCTTATGCATTTTCATATGTCACGCCCAAACTTCAATACTTACATACATAGCACTTTGGTGCTTTGAACGTATGCAAGAAAAAGTGGATTTCACTTTTAAAAAGTGGCAATTCTTCTATTTTTTATGTGATATTAAAGATTTGATTGCTATGTGTGTAAGTATGAAAGTTTAAGTGTGAGATAGGTAAATACATTAAGAATTGTGTGCTATGTATGTAAATGCCCCCCCTTTTTAATGATTTTGTCATTTTTTTTTTTTGGGTTTCTTGTAACACTTTATTTTTTATAGGTTATGCTTAATCCAATTGGGCAAAGCAAGGGTGCCGGTTTTGTGCAGTTTGGCTCTACTGAGGAAGCTAATCATGCTGTAAGTTAATTTGTTGTTGCCTTCTTTGGATTTAGGTTACTATGCTGCTTATTAGTTTTTATTTTGGCAAAAATGTGGATGTCTTTCAGGTAAATGAGATGAATGGTAAAATGATTGGGAGGAAGCCATTATACGTTGCTATAGCTCAGCGGAAAGAAGAAAGAAGGGCCAGACTTCAGGTAGAACTTTAACTGTAATAGGTTCTTGGGTGATATTTAAGTTATTCGTTTTTGTTTGTGGATTTTTATATGTACCATGTATATCTTTTAGTCACAAATTTGCATTTTACTCCATCTTCAGGATTGCAGAAGAGTTTCGTTTATAATTTATTTCTGCATACAAAATTTTTGATTGTGTGTTTACTCTCTATTAAGGCAATATAGTCCTCTGCTCTATTCGTCAACCCAATTCCGGGGAGCACCGGTAAAATAGCCCTCTCTTTCTTCTTCCTCTTTCTGCAAAACCAACTCTCTTTCATCACCGTCTGCTCTCTCCCTCTCTTCTCCCAAATCTAACTCCCAATTGCCTCCTCTTTTTCTCCTACCTCAAAGATCCTCTCTCAGCCCTTGTTGAGCTTGCATGAACACCTCACACGACTCTCTCTCACACGACTCTCTCGTGTTCGCTTTTGGCACAGTGCTGCTAGATAGCATCTTGATCTGTTGATGATTTTTAACCAAGCTCAACTTTTTGTTCCCCCATCATCTCACAATCTTTTGCTCCAACCTGTTCGCCAAAACACCCACCTTCACCTCTCAATCTCTCTCCGGACAGAGAGTTCACACAAGAAAATCCACTACTCCTAGTTTACCCTCTTTTCCTCACTTTGTTGTCTCCCTCATTTCCACCCCTCACTATCTCTCCCATTTTCTCTCTAACACTGTTTTTTTTCTAAACTCTCCCTTCTCTGTCTCTCTCAAACATCCTCTCCCTTTTTCTCTCTCCAAAATGAAAAGAAAAGAATAATCAGAAAGTATGTCTATTCCAAAAAAAGAAGTGCAGGAAATTCGTTTGTTTAATTGTTAACTTTGCTTGCAAAGGAATAATGCAAAAGCAGACTCGCCAAATTGCCAAAAGATAAGCACTCAAGTGTATCTTTCTGGGTGTGATGGGGAAATTCTATGTTCACAAATTTCTTATGCAGGAGAAAAGCCCCATTCATGCGCTGGAATGATGGGGCGCAAGACTCAGGACCACCATATAAACAAAAAAACTTGTTAGCTGCTTTCTTGATTCTGTAGGGGAATGTTGATTGGGTGCATTAGTATTTTCGTCATATATAGTTTTTTAAGATAAAAACAAATTTTCTTACTATATTGTAATTAATTAACATCTGATAATTAGCATTAATTGAAAGTTCTATCTCCTTGTCGAGAAATAATTAATTATAAGGGCTTGTGCTAATAAGAAACCTTCAAACGGTTTTTAGCATTTTTGCAATATGAGGACGAAATCTCTACTTAGCGTTTTATCTATAAATCTAATTTGCATTCTAAAAATTTGATCCATAAATATCAACAAAACCCTCTTTGAAAATAGTCAAGTGCAAAATTTAGGAGACCAGAAAAAGAGTTATGTTCAACCATTTTTTATTTTTTAGTAATCTTAATTAATTATATTTTACCTGGCGTCTGAGATCGAAGAACTCATCCATAAAAGCCTACAAAAGTGAAATCCATAGCTCCTAAGGTTCAAACTCAATTTTTCTAGTCTCTCTATCTCACACAATAGCAACCTCTTGATATCCTACTCTATCATCTCTCTTAAAGGCCCTTCACATGAAATGTTAGTCTCTATTCCTTGATAATGGGCTCCCTTCATGAATTATGAGTTTTGCCACTGCTTATTGTGAAATCGGTGAATATTTTCTAGCTTTCGGTTATTGAATGCTCGAACCCTTTTCCGAGCTAGAGTATGTTGACTTCTTGAAACTCATGGTCCCTTTCACTTCTTATCCCATCATCTCATAACGTCTAGAGCAGAAGCCCTTTTTGAATCTATAGTAAGCTTCATTTGTGGTTTTACAAATTATATCTAAAATGTATTTCTACCGAATCTATTGTCGACTCCTTTGCTTTTTTATTTATGTTTGTGCATTAACTATAATTTGTTAAGTTTTATACATTTTAACGTAAATGATTAATTATTTTTTTTATATTTTTTTGTTTATGCATATATTTGTTAAATGTTTAACTGTTGAAATTTAATATCATTTTGGTTGAACATCGAATGGGTCTCAAGTGAATCAATCAACCACAAATATATGGCTTTAATGTTTTTTTGTTATTTTCAAAGTTTCATTTTAAATGAAAACATAAACTTGTTTGATATGTGATACTTTGTATACCTATTTTGAGCAAACATTGAACAACGTTTGAGGTCATTTTTCTTCCTATTTTTTGTGCTTATTTCAATTCTTCATTTTCAATAGTTGTCATATAATTTTTATTAATTTAGGAAAAATATATAATAGAGTAGCATGAGATTCCTTTTATGGTTATGAAGGAGAGACGAATGTGAAGGCATATTAAAGTTGTTAAAGGCAACTATGATGAAAAGAGATCAGATAGTAATTTTAGTTTTCGAGTGATTAAAAATATTCAATCATAATAGTGTCATAAGAAGGATCAAATTAAGATCTCATATTTTACATTGATTATGGAGAAATTTACAAAATATATTCTAGTTGAGATGCTTTGATCTATGTACTTTGTTCTAATCTGTGAGATGCTTATGTAAAATGGTTGTTTGAATAGTAGAGAGTTTCTAGATGGAAAGTTACTTACAGTTGCGGAACATCAAGTTATTATTTTTAATGTTGTTGACACGGGCGCTAATGGAGCCTGATTACGGGCGCTAAAAACAACGCCCGGCTCGGGAGGGCCGACCCGCCTAGCATCGCAGAAGTGGGACAGGGAAATCGCGATCTCTCAGTTCGCGAGAGGGAAGACCCTCGCGAGGGCGGGAAATGGGGATCGAGGAGGCATCGTGTGGGAGTGTTTTCTGGATTCTTTTTGGCCTTCCACTCTCTTTGCTTTGTGCAGATCAGATTAGTGTTGTGTTTGAGTTTAGTTTCAGATTTTCTGTGGTCTCTTTTTCTTTTATGGCTGTGTTTGAGGAGGTGGTGGTTCTCCGGTTGTGTCTTCTCCGAGGCAGTTATCATATCTTCCGCTTTTATTATCCCCAACATATCTCTTTCACTCCCCTTAGCTGCCGACCGCTTCAAGCTTCTCCTAACCACTACATGATCGTTGTCGACCACTCACAACTCTTCCCACTTGTTGTCCCTTCAATTCCACACCCTCCCTTCGCTACAACCCGCCTCTTATGGCTACCGTCACCCCTCCAATCATCCTCATCCCTCTAGCCGACCTTCACCACCTATTAATGATACATTTAAGAGTGTTTTTTTATATTGTTTCATGTTTTGTGTTGTTATTTTCTTTCAAGTCATGGTGTAATCTTATTTTAATGGTAATGAAAGTTTTGTTTTTCAGTGTTTCCACTATTGTTTTATAGTAGTTGCGATATCATTTGATATCAGAGCCAGCTCAGCCCTAGTCTTATCCTAGGGTTCCCCAGCATCTGCCCCTGCCCAATTCACCTCCATCAAATTTTTTCTATCAATTCTCAACTCTAGTCATGACACTGCGAAAAGATATGTCATGCTTTGCTTGGGAAGAGATCCAATGTGAAATTTGTCATCTGCAACGAAGATTAGCCGAGCTAGATGACGGGAGCTAGGAATAGATTACCTTCGACTGCGGTCGAGAGGGTCGTGGGGAAGACAAAAACGAGGATCTTAATCCATTCCGTAGAGAAGATCATAACGACAAAGAATTTCGGCTTTGTTGTTTTGGTATTCAATATCAAAGGAGGTCAAGAGAAAGAGGCTCTTTATGGAGGTAGTTGTACTTTGGCATCAAGATGGACCTTCCAGAATTTAAAGGAGGTATGGATCCCGATGAGTTTATCGACTGACTGCAATCTGTTGAATGAATTTTCGAATATAAAGATGTACCAGAAGATAAACGGGTCAAGCTAGTCGCTATTAAGCTGAAGAAGAGAGCTTCATTGTGGTGGAAAAATGTGCAGAGGCAGAGGAAGAGGGAAGGCAGTGAAAATATCACTAGGTGGGAGAAAATGAAGAAAGTAATGTAGAAAAGTGCCTCCCACCCTATTATCGTCGGGATATGTTTCTATAACTCCAAAACTTGCACTAGAGGGATCTTTCAGTTGCAGAGTTCACTGTTCAATTTGCCTACTTGCAGATGAAATGTGTGCTGACAGAGTCAGAGGAATATACGATAGCCATATATTTTGGGGGTTTGAAACTCGTCATCAGCAATTTGGTACAGTTGCAGCTATACTGGACATTAAGGAAAGAGAACAAAAATAGAGTCGGCAACAATTATCTTTCAATCAGCAACCTCCAGACAAGCTTTCATCTACAATTACCACGACCGATAAAGATCTCTCAAGAGACACAAGCAAGCCTGGACATGGGAATGTCACTGCAGATCAAAGCGGGAAGAAACAGGAGAAGGGTAACTCCTCTGGCACGGTGTCAGGTGGAAGTGCTACCGATGTCACGACTACGGCCACATTGCTTCTAGCTGCCCCACGAGTAGGATAGTGACACTCACATATCAAGGCGTCATAGAAGAAATTAGCGACTAAGAGAAAGTCGAGGAACATGATGAGCAGTCTTAGCTTCCCTCAGATAAAGGAGAGGCACTCATAATTCTTCGAATTATACAAACCAAAGACACGAGGGATTCACAGTAGTTTCGTCACAACATATTCTACACCCACTGCACAGTAAAAGAAAATTTATGCAGTCTCATCATCGACGGCAGAAGCAACAAGAACGTGACATCGACATAGATGGTAATGAAATTAGAACTCGCAACTCAGAGACATCCCCAATCATATTCATTGACTTGGCTGCAGAAGGAGCATTAGGTCAGCATCGGCTGAAGAAGTTTGGTAAAAATTTCAATAGGAGACCAACTTTAAGACCAGGTGTGGTGTGAGGTAGTCCCTATGGATACCTGTCATATTTTATTGGGATGATCGTGACAATTTGACCAAATTACTCAGCACGACGGATATAAAAATACATATTCTTTCACCAAGGACGTGAATCACATCACTCTCCTTCCTTCGACAGATTCTGAGGTCAAAGGATCCCTTTTCAACAGAACATCATCATTGAAACCAGTTTTAGTGATGACACCAGACGAGAGGATCGAGTCATCCACCCCTGACATGAGATAAATATGACCATGGGTATATCAGGACGACACTATATCGACAACATCACCACAGTGCGGGAAGGGTTCGATTAGTATCGCTACACACTCGATTGAACCGATCATATGTTACTTTGGGAAGATTCAACAGCATATGCATGGTACACCACCCCAAAGGACAGATCGATGTGGACATTTATTCGCAAGTTAGGGAAGACCCTTAGATGCCTCGGGAGACAATGTAGTCGTTAGTGGGATTCAGGGGTGGCTGACTACGAAAAAACCAAAGCTTTCACTATGAAGTTGAAGCCTCCCCAACCCCACGAGACTAACACGGGCACTAATCGCACTCGATTACAGGTGATAAAACAATTCCCAGTTCAGGGCGTTGAAGAGTATGTGGTTCGGGGCACTGAGCAGTGCCATGTTACGGGTGCTAAAATCAACGCTTGGCTCGGGTGCTGCGAAGGCAGGGCCAACCCGCCTAGCATTGCAGAAGCGGGATAGGGAAATCGCAATCTCTCCCGAGGGTTCTCAAGAGGGCAGACCCCTGCAAGGGCAAGAGATGGGGATCGCGAAATGTTTTGATGCGTGAAGATGAATCGCCTCTAGGGAAGCTTCACGAGGCTACCGTTCTTGAGAGTGTTTTCTGGATCCTTCTTTGCCCCCACTCTCTTCCTTTGCGTAGAAGCTTTCTTTAGGAGTCTATAAATTGTTGTTTTTGGATATGCGGGAATCAAATTAGGGTTGTGTTTGAGTTTAGCTTAATATCTCCTTTGTGGAGTCTCTTCCCCCTTGTGAACTGTTTCCAAGGATGTGGTGGTGCTCTGGTTGTATCCTTCGTGGTGGTGGTGCTCCGGCTGTATTTCCTCCGAGGTAGTGATCGTATCTTCCCCTTTTATCCTCCTCAAGCCTTCTCTTTCACTCCCCTTAGCTGCCGACCACTTTAAGTTTCTCCTAACCACCACACGATCGCTGCCGACCACTCACAACCCTTCCCACTTGCTGTCCCTTCAGTTCCATACCTTTCCTTCGCTACTACCCATATCATATGGCTGTCGTTGACCGCTGGTTACTCTACGGTATACTTAGTGATTTAGGGTTTAAATATTATAAATTTTAAAAATATATTTTATACATCTAATCTCTTAATTTTCCACTCGTAATCACTACACACCAGGTATAAACGCAAATGCACGTATCGCTCAAGTAATATAGTACTTTTTTTTTTCGTCACGAGTATTGAACCCATAGGGAAGTTTGTAAATTTGACGGACTTAAAATAGGCTCTAGCTGAATCTAAGAAATCTTAGCTAGGAAATAGATTTGGTTTTTAGCGAGCTATAAATTTTACTAAACTACTATTAAACTTCTAAGTTAACTATTTAGCTAAGTATATTAAACTAATTTAAGCAGAAGGTTCAAAATAATTACACCAAGCTAACTTAAGTAGGAAGTTCAAGCTAATTAGATGTTCCTCCCTTTGCAATGAAGCTAGTGTAGGTGCAACTAAACTATAATCCCTAATTAAAATCTGTGACAAATAGGAGCACCCCTTTTCTTTACCCTTCTCCAAGTGCATAAAGAAACTAGGTTAACATAGGATTTGTTTTTGTCTGCCAGCCTAGAAACCTCCTAGTTATCACCGCTAAAATCATCTCCCTATCTATTTGCATTAACCCCATGACTATTTTTCTTCACCCTTAAGACTAGTGTGGTAATCACTAGTTGTTTGAAGCCATAACCCTCCTAGATCTTATGAGTTCACAACAAATTTTAACACTACAACTGCCCATATTGCAATGTAAATGAAGTTCAGATAAAATATCATCCCATTCATTGAAGTAACAAGATTCTAATTAAATTACTCTCTACACATGCTACTAATTTATTACAAAAGGAAGGAAACAAGTAAAAGACTACTCAGATTTCATTGAAAAAACCACAAAGCAAATCATCTTATATGAAATCAAAGTCAAATATTATAAAATACTTCAATAGAAGACAATGGAAATACAAAAACTTATCTTCTTTCCTGAGAAATGAAGAAAAGATCCACCACAAAGTTCTCTCCTAGTAATCTCACAACAAATCCTTGCACCTCTTACAACACTCAAAGTAATAACAGGAAAAACAAAGGAAAACTCTCACTTTGTCCTTCAACTCTTTGCACTCTCTTTTCTTCCTTTAACTCCCCGAAAGCCTTCTTTTTTTCCTCTGCAATGAATCTTCCCTCAAAAAGCCTCCAATCATGTGAAAAACTACTGCACAACTGCCCTGGACAGTTCTGGCGCCTAGGCGTCCATCCCTCTGTCGGCTCGGCAGAACATCTGGCGTCTATGGCGCCACCTTCTCTGTTGCTTCTACGGGTTCCGACGCCTAAGCCTCAAGATCAGACGCCGTGGAGCCATGGAGTGGTGCCTGGGCGCCTGTTTAGCTCCAAGCTGCAATGCTCCATTCGCTCTGTTTCGCTCTATTTTCGCTCCAGTTTGCTCCATTTGCTTTATCTATTATATCTGCAATCAAAACCATAAAAATACTTTCCACTAAAGTGTAATATCATAAAAAATAAGTAGTAAATGTAGAAGGAAAATTAGCACGTTAAAGGTACATGCCAGTCGTCACCCCTCCAATCATCCCCACCCCTCTAGCCAACCTCCACCTCCTATTTGGATACAATTAGGAGTGTTTGTTTATGTTGTTTTTTGTGTTGTTATTTCGGTTCGAGTCATGATGTAATCTTATTTTAATTTTAATGAAAGTATGTATTTTTGTGTTTTCACTAGGTATCAATTATAGATTTATTATTAATTTTGTTTTACATTTGAATCTACAAGTTATACAATACAACATAATTAAAGTTCAAGTTTGTCATTAATTTATGAGTATTTTAATTTATTTTAGCTATTATAGAATTCCTTTTGATAATTGTTATTATTTATTAATTCGTTAGGGTATGTTCTTAAATTTATTAGAGAGCTTTAAACACGTACAATTTGAATCTTCTCTTTTTACAAAATTACCTCCCTTCTAATGAATTAACTTGTGAACTCATATATGTGCGTATGTGATGATCAAACACTTGGGAATTTGACAAAAGCAAAAATTTTAGGTTGGAGTTTTGTTGTGAACTTCAACATGTGGGAGTGCATTTAAAAATAGAGGTATATGCTGTTAGTTTTGTTAACAACCAAGATTTTTATCGATATCTATGAAATAGCACACAAAATTCATCGTTCAACAATTTCACACTCATCTTTTTGAAAAAAAATTAAATCGTATCTTAGGATGTGTTATATATTTCAGTAGACGTTTGGACATGTTTATAGTTTTTCTTTTTTAATTTTGAGCATGAGCTGAGTAGGATAAAACAAAAGCCTATTAGTGGTTCCAAACATGCATATTTCTCCATTTGTACCTATAAATGGAGCTACTTAGCATTGGAATTTTGCTCTTTTTACCTTTTTTTTTTCTGAATAAAATCTTTCATAGTAGTTGATTTATTTTGAAGTTTCAAAATCTATAAAAGTGTCAAATTAGTTCCCGGACTCTTTTAATTATAAAATAAAATAGTTCTCATAGGGGACTATTTTACCATTTTGACGGTTATCATTTATTTTGTTATAAATTTCCACCTGGCTTTCATTTTTTTGAAGAATTTTTTTTTTCCTTCAATTTCTATTTGCAGGCTCATTTTGCTCAGCTTAACGCTCCAGGAGCAATGAATCCTCCAATGCCTGCTTTGCCTGGCTATCCCCCCGGTCCTTCGAGGCTTCTTCCACAGCAACTTTACTTTGGTCAAGGAGGTCCTGGACTCATGACACCACAGCCTACCAACTTCGGATTTCAGCAGCAAATTATTCCTGGAATGCGACCGGGTGTTGCCGCAAATTTCATGATGCCTTACAATCTTCAAAGGCACGGTCAACCGGGGCAGAGGATGGGTTTTAGGAGAGGCGGAATGCCGCAGCAAATGCAGCCGCAGGTAAAATGTTCTCTTCGGACAATTCTCTTTGAATAGGCAATCATTCCTTTTATTTTTTTTTTAAGATTTGCATACTTAACATTCAATTATTATGTATTTACATATCTAACATCTAAACTTCAATTTTACATGCATGCCATCTGTTATACTGCATGCCATCTTGTTATACATGAAAAAAGCGCGTTTCACTTTCTAAATGTTAAAAATAATGATATCATTGATGTGATATGAAAGATGTTGGGTGTATAAATGTAAAATGTAAAATTTAGATGTTACATATGTAAATACCAAAGAATTGGGTGTTATATATGTAAATTCCCCTATTTTTTAGGTAACGCATATGATCATATGATGATGACCCATGTTGATTATTTATTTTGTGTGCCGGAAATTCAATGGCCTGCTTGTGGTTTTATTATTGTAATCCGCTGCATGAGAGTTTGATCCTTTTATTTTTGAAGGAACCATAGAAACTTAAAACTGTAGAGAAGCCTCTTATGTCCGAGTCTCTCCGACATGAGAGTTTGATCCTTTTAGAGGAGCCCATCTTGCTTGTCATACTTCGAACAATAGGTGCGATCTGATGTTTTTTAAATATTAAATTCTGAGCTTTAAACAATACCTCAAATCTTTTGTGTAAAAAAAATTAGGATATAGATGGCACATTTAGGACTCTAGGACTCTAGAACTAAAAAAACCCTCCTACTAATAGTCAAAGGATCATCCTAAAAGAGTACGGGGACTAAATTTACATTTTTATAGACTTATGGACTAAAATGTCTCCTTACAAATAGTCGAGGATCATTTTGACAATTTTATCTTTTATTAAATCCTTAATTAAATTGGCAATGCTATAAATGATTCACCAATTGAGTGGCACAGATGGGGATGCTAAGATACAGATACTTTAAAAATAATGGCATAATAAGAAATAATTATATTTATGAGATGGTGGGAATAGTACCTTTTGTGTGGATATTTTTGATAGTGGAGAAAGTAAATTGGGTTTCAAAATAGAGCGCAAAAGATGCTTAGGGTTTAAGAAGGGAAAAATATGATGAAACAGATAACTAAGGGTAATGAGAATTATGATTTCTAATATATTTTATGAGTTAAGAGACTAAATGCTTGAATTGTTGCACAACTAGTGTTTGTAAATTTTTTTTACTTCTAGCTGATGGTTTTTTGTAATGATATAATAGTTCAAAATTTATTACCAACTTTACTTTCTAATCTCCCAAATAAATTCTTTTTCTATTTACATTAATATTGTACTCTTTTTTTTTTTTTTCGTGGATATTCCATCAAACACAGTTCAACCATAGGAATGCCAACCAAGGCTTCAGATACATGCAAAGCACTCGAACTGGTGTTGACCCATTGATGCCTTCTGGTCTTATGGGTCCAATGATGCCTTTGTTATTTGAAGCAAAGAACATCCACACTTCGCCCGTTGACGTAGTTCGAAGCCCCGTTCCAATATCGACACTCGCGTCTGCTTTAGCTTCTGCGCCTCCCGAGCAACAGCGAGTGGTGAGTCTGCTTCATGTTTAAATTGGAAGAGTTACATACACCACTCAATTCTTATTTATTTATATATGGAACATCTAAACTTTCAATTTGAACATATGTGCCCTGCTTATGCATGAAAAGCTACATTTCACTTGTTAAAAGTTAAAATAATAGTATTTTGGGGCATTTACATACATACCCCACATAATTCTTATATATTTGCTTATCTAACAGCTAACTTTGATATTTACATGCATTCCACTCTAGTCTTTAATATCACTTCAAAAACACCACTAGTATTAACTATTTAAAAAGTGAAATACACATTTTTATGTATAGATTTATAACGACAAAGTGTTATATATATCTCTAGCACTGTTTACGTTATATGAAATACTTGGGTGATATAAATGTAAAAAAGCAAAGTTTAGGTGTTTGATATGTAAATACATAGGAATTGAGTTGTGTATTAAAAATTTGATCATAGCATCTCCCTCCAATTAACCAATATTATTCATGAAATATTATTTCAGATGTTGGGAGAGCAATTATACCCTCTCGTCGAACAAATTGAACAAGATAATGCGGGGAAGGTGACAGGTATGCTACTAGAGATGGATCAAACAGAGGTTCTTCATCTTATAGAATCGCCGGATGCTCTAAGGAAGAAGGTTGGAGAAGCCATGGAAGTTCTTCGAGTAGCTCATTCGAGTGGACCCGATGGAGTGGACCAGCTTGGTTCAATTGGGCTTGAATGATTAAAGTAATGTCTTTGATTTGTCATCATAGGATTTTCTTATTGTCAATTTATTAGGGTTTTTGAGGTTTTTAGTGATTGATACCAATTTTTGTAGTTTGTTTTGGCCAGGTGTGCTTTAGTTTTGTGCCTGTAGACCAATTTTTAGGAAGGCAGAGAGAGGAGTTTGTTAGTAGGATGGATTTTGCTTTGGTTAGATTTAAGAGATTACTAATTATGGTTTGTTTTATTTAGTGCATTATGATTAGCAGTTTCTAGGCATTTTGATGGAATTAATTTTGATTGTTTTAGAATGACGAGCATAGAATACTTTGAGTTCTGGTTTTGTCAATGTTTATAATGTTTAAATTCAGTTTAGTGGTCTACTCGAGATGGTTGTAGTGATTTTTTAACATTTCTTTTGAGTATTATAATATTCAGGGTTAATTATATACACACCAACCAAAACTGACTATTCACAAAACCACCCTCTTTCATTTTTTTTTTTTTCAAATTCTCATTAAAATATCAAAATATATGCTAAAACCCAAACTAATATTTTTCATTTTTATTAAATTTTTAGTAGTTTTATAGTGATGTGTAAATACATCAATTTGTTAGTTTGAAAAAAATCACTTGGTGCTTAGTTTGTAAATATCAATATTTTGGATGATCTTTATGTAATTTGTAAACATTCATTCTAGAAAAGATTTACTAGTATTTTCTTAAAAATATTTTATATAACAATGCAACAAAATAAACAATTATACAGTTAGCATTTGAAAATATAAGCTCTTGTCCAATTTAAAATAATTAAAAGTGTGCAAATTTCTGTAACAAACAGATTAAAAAATGAAATTTAACTTATAAAATATTCATTCATCATTTGAACAAATTCTTGAACAATTGTACTGTAAACTTACCAATACCAAGTGATCACTTTCTTTGGAGTCTGAATATTTTAATAGAATTATATTATTATATATATATATATATTAAATTCAACTATAAATGACTGAACTGAATAATGAAATTCAGAATTTTAATAGATGGCTTATGATAAGAAAACAAAATGGATTTGATGAAGCTAGTTAAAGAAGGCCATTGCAGTAGTTGATCAAAAATAGGAAAAATGCTTTATGAACTTATTGTTTGATACAACTAGTTGATTATGAATGAAAATGAATATTATAGTAATGAAATCAATAACTTTTTTTTTCTTTCTATATTTCAACAACTAGGACCATACTCATGGCTTAAAAAATGTTAGAAGAGCTAAAGATCAATTATAACAACTCAAGGAAGCCTTTTATTTTAGGGACATTTACATACACATCACACAACTGTTATGTATTTACATATCTTAACCATCTAAGCTTTCATATTACATACATAGCACTCAAATCTTTAATATCATATAAAAAATAGCACTATTATCATTTTTAAAAAGTGAAATCAACCGTTACATGAATAGTTTTAAAGCACCAAAGTGCTATGGATATAAATACGTAAGTTTAGGTGTGAGATATGTAACTACATAAGAATTGTGTGCTACGTATGTAAATTTCCCTTTGTTTTACCACTAGCAAATATATATGGTTAGTCACATTTCTTATTAAGATTATGATGATATAAGGAATTAGCACTACTTGCAACTTTGATGAAAACATCCTCCAGTGCTGCATCTGACAAGCCCCAAGCTTGTATGTTCAGCCTTCTTTTTGCAGCTTCAATTTGTCTAAATATGTCAGACAGGCTTAGCCCTTTCTTAGGTAGCTGAAATTTCTGTGTTCCAGATAAATGATATACTCTTGTTGCTGCTGAGGATATTTGTTGCACTAATTTCTCCACATCTTCTTCTTCATTGGATGGGGTGGTCACTGTCAGCACAAAATAACCTCCATATCTGGCTTTTAACTGTATAAATTAAGCGCAGTGATTAAATTTCTGAAGGTAGCAGATGATAAGACATGAGAGTAGTTGTTGGTTATGTCTGTAAACTATGGTTAAGTTAGCCGAAGATGGAAAAAAAAGTAGTTTTAATTTTAATTGGTTTAACAAATAGCATTCATTTCTCTTTCTCAAGAACCTAGAATTATGTATAAATCATGTAGACCACTTCCCTCTAGTTAGTTTTTTTTATAAGCACCTTCTACTCAAAAGCATGGCTTGAAAATTCATCTTAAAATTGGTCCACCTTGGAACTTTCAGGTTTGGTTAAATCAATTACGGTTAGTTGTACAATTTTTTTTTTTTTAAGGTTGTTTATATAAATACCTCAACTGGGCTTCCAAGACATTGAAGATACCCATCCACAAAGATTCCAACACGATCACAAAGAGCCTCAGCTTCTTCCATGGAGTGGGCTGTTATCATGCCAAAATAAAGCTTCATCAGACAATTTATTCGCTTCATTTCTTATCTTACAACTTATACTTGATATATAATATCAATGATAAGTGAAAATTAGAAATCTAAATTAAATTTTGTGCTGATAGCAAGTTAGAAAAGAAACAAAACTCATACTTGTGAGAATAACTGCTCTATCTTTTTTTGCATGCTGCACAACACTCCATAGTCTTTTTCTCGATGCTGGATCTAATCCAGTGCTGGGCTCATCCATATATACAACCTGGAAATTAAAAGTAGGGTCAAGTTTCTGCTATCCCTAAGATATAGTGGTAATAAGATCAAAGAACTATCATAATTGATTTTATATATATTCTACTTTTCATACTTTAGGATTGCCAATGAGTGATATGGCTACGCTGAGCCTTCTCTTCATGCCACCACTATATTGTTCAACTCGCTTGTCAGCCACACCTTTGTCTAATAGATTGACTGCCTGTAATGATTCTTCAACTGCCTGCAATTTATGAAAGATAAGACTAACGTGTAAGTTAATTATTCCAACATAAATTCTTTTTTCTGCGCCACAAAATAAGCAATAAATTGATGGTTTTCGTTTGAATAAATATACCCTTTTAATCATCCCAGGAATCCTGGCTTTTGGGGATGTAAATATGTTATTGATTGATTGGATTCTATCAGTTGGAGCAATATTATAATTATCGACAAAAGTGTTTTGGAGGGGCCATCTTAATCACAGAGTTTATAATAGTGTTAATTTAGCCTTGAACTTTTTTAATGGGGGCCAAGGTAATCCTCTCTGAAGCTATTGCAAGCCCATATTTAAAGAGCATGTGAACTAATTTGACACTTTTGCATACTCCAGGACAAAAATGAACCATTTAAATAGGCAAAGTACTATTTTGACACTATTATTATGTGACTAAGTTGTGTGGCATAGTTATTATGGTTACTTAGACTAGATGATTCATTAACACATGCATATTATTATCATAAGTTGTGATATGCATGTTGTTTAGGATTGATACATATTTTGATGTACATACTTGTATCTTTCATGCATATTAATTTTAATAGGGGATGAATTGAAAGAAGTATATTTACGTGCTTGTCAGCAAAGTATGAGACAATAACTTCCACAAGTTTTGGTTATCCATTTATGGTTACTTAATTTAATGGTTTCTATTTTAGTAAAGTGCCAAAATAGTCTGTTGATTGTTTACATGGAGCCATTTTAGTTTCAGAGTTTATAGAAGTGTCAAATTAGTCGCTAAAATCTTTAAATTGGGGCTAAAATAGTCCTCTATGGGGATTATTTCAGCACATATTGCAGGGTACTATTTTGACACTTCTCGCGTTTAGTTTTCTTCTTTTATTCTTGAGATTATTATGTAGTTTCAATATAATGTAGTATAAGGTATTTGGGGGGCACAACAATTTCAAATATTATAGAATCAGCTGTGACCATAAAGATAATTTACCTTCATCAGCGAATCTCCTCTAAGGTTCTTCAATCTACCATAAAAAAGGAGGTGTTCTCTACCGGTTAAACAATCCCAGGTCAAACTGTAATCAAAACATGTGAAAGAACATTAAAAAAAAAGCCAGAATCTTTCAGATATTTGAATTTAGCCAGGATCAAGCGGTGTCAACACTGGCTGCTGTATTTCAGTAGAAAATAATTCTTTAAAAATTAGTATTGCTGAAGATATAATTACTTAAAAAATGCAACTTTGAAAATAGTACTCCTAACACAAATAATAGCAATAAATTAGTTGGTTTCTTATTACAAACGAGTAAATTACCACTTACTCATGTTGCGGGCATACACCCATTAAAGAATACACTTTGTCCATATCTCTGCTGATATCTAGTCCTTGAACTAATATTGTGCCTGAAGTGGGAGTTGTGAGCCCAGTCACCTGACAATAGTTGAAAAAAAATTTGAAGATTTACATGTAGTCCACTCAATTTTTACATATCTAGCACCCAAACTTGAATTTTTTCATATATGTCATCTTACTTGTGCATAAAAACATGTACTTCACTTTTGAAAAATTAAAACAGTATTATTTTTTATGTGCTATGATAGATTCAGATGGTATAAATGTAAAATCAAAGTTTAGGCGTTGAGAAAAGTGTTAAAATGGTCCCTTGACTTTTTACAAGGGGTCATTTTAGTCCCAGATTTTATAGAAGTGTCAATTTAGTCCCCAGCCTCTTTTAATATGGGTTGAAATAATCCGAGTGAGGACTATTTTAGCCCCTATTAAAACAGTCTGGGATTACTTTAGCACTTTTATAAACTTTGGAATTAAAATGACCCCATCTAAAAGTTAGAGGATTAATTTGGCCATTTTTCTCTTTAGGTGTTAGATATGTAAATACATAAGAATTGGGTAGTATGTTTATAAATGCCCCAGAACAATATTTAGAAGCGAGTACATAGAATTCAGAAAGTAAAAGCTTAACTATATTGGCCATGCACTTGATATTTTGTAAATTCTATTTAGTATAGACAGCTTCAAAATTAGGGGGGTCTGTAGTGTTAAACTATTCAATAAATAGTAGACCAACTAACCATGTTTATGAAAGAAGTTTTGCCTGCTCCATTAGGTCCAAGCATGCCGAAGCATTCCCTTTGAGAAATAGAAAGTGAAAGGCCCCGAACTGCATGCTTATCTGGATTTCCATCACTTCCTGGGTACACCTTTCTTAAGTCGTCGCATAGAACGGCCTGGATTTTACAGGGTTCTTGCATCAGCTTTTCAACTATTTCTCTCTGCAGAAAATTAAAATTTAGTCCAAGTAAGAGGCTGAATAATTTTAAAATCTAAAGCTAAATAATATGCAAGATGTACGTCAATTTACATTGTGGCATTTACATACATAACACCCAATTCATATGTATTTACACAACCAACACCTCAACTTTACTTTTTGCATTTGTAACACCCAAATCTTTCACGTCAAATAAACAATATCACGATTGTAACTTTAAAAAATAAAATAGGCTTTGTAAAGCGTAGGTAAGGTGGCGTATTTGTAAAAAGTTAAGTTCAGGTGCTAGGCATTTGAATACATAGAAATTAAGTGGTATGTATGTACATCCTTCATTTACATTTGGATTATTGAGAATGCATATAAGGTAGCAAGTGCATGGAATTGGGATCTGATCTGAACTATGGAAGAAATTGCTTTAAAGCCTAGAGTTGATGCTCTATATATTAAAAAAAGTTGCAAAGTAACCCAATTCATTTGTGCTTCCAAAAAAAAAAAAAGTCATCATAGTCATCATCTAACCGCATAAAATATCTAACCGCATAAAATGAGAGATGAATGACTCTAAAAATCCGCAATCATTAGTTAGATTTTAGAAAAATCTGAAGCTGAGATTAGTTCTTATTTATTTATTTATTGACTAGCCAAGTTAGAAGTGGAGCTTACCTCTTGAGCAACATCTGGTTTATCCATATTAATGAGAATGTCATATCCTTGCCTTTGCTTATTTCTATTTGTCTTTCTCTGAAACTTTGTTAAAAACCAAAGTGGATGTTTTCTAACTCCTTTGCCATTTGAAACAACTTGATCCAAGTAATATCCAAGCAGCAGAAGTGCTGCCCATTCTACAACCATGATGATCAAAACAGCTCTCATCCCTTGCCTGTCCTTATTAATGTCCTTCCAACCTATACGAGGTGCTTCAAGTGATTCCACACGAAGGGAATATTGTGCGAGTTCATAAAGACCACGGTATATGGAAAAAGCGGGGAAAATCTCCATTAGTACAAGTAGTTCTCCTGCAAAAAATGTCAATTTGCATGCATTAACAACAAAGGATTGTAACAGCATGAACTCTCATCCATCAAAATATTGTTTGCTTCGGTTTAATGGCTTCACAGTTTTATTTCATTGGTATAACTTTCTAGAGGCCACTCATCCCAAGAGTGCTCCAGCACAAGCATGCTTAACTTTGGAGTTTCTAATAAAATCCCAACTGTTACAACAAATACACATCAATGTTTAAGAGTTCAGTTTCATTCTACTTGTAGGGTTTCAGAATTTCACCCACCTAAGTAATTAACACCCTCGCTTGTTTTCTTAAACCGTAATCATCCACCAAACAAATATTCTAATCTTCAGATTGATGTAAAGCTCTCATACCATTTGTAACAATTGAACTCTTATCCATCGAGATATTGTCGGCTTTGGCCTAATGGCACGTGCTTTTGTTTCAATGGGGTCTCGATCTTTAAGAGTTTAGCTTCATTCTACGTAATGATTTCCATAAAGAATAATGCTTAGATAACCGTTAAGAACAATAGTGCAGCTTACTTGGATAGGAGGCGTCTTCAATAAAGCGCTCCAAAAGAGATGATCCAAGAAGGCCTGAAACAAATACGTACAAGTATCCAACCACTGCAAGTTGATACACCACGTCAAAATCACACTTTTGAAACATGGTTCAACAAAGTCATGAAATTTTCCTTTTTGAAATACCTGCAGCAGTCTTCACCTCCAAGAACAGTGCTGAGGTGAAAATTGTAAGAGAAATCTGCAAATTTATGCTTAAAAAGTAGAATACAAACTGGAGACTGAACTTGTTTAAGGTGAATAATTTTATCCCTGTAAAAAGTTTTTTCAGTTTAAAAAGACAACAAATGAGAGCAATTAGGAAAAGAATAAGGATGCTAAGTATCGTTGAGGCCATCCATATAACATACCAATAATGGAACCAAATAAGCTGAAACATAACATGTAAGAGGCTGACAAGACCAAAAAATATCCATAGGAAATTAACCAGTAGGGAAGATCACCAAGGCCATGCATTTTCATCATCATTCGCATATTCTTTTGCTTTTCATAAACTAGATAAGTCAACATTACCTGTACAAATCAGATTAATTAAATTGGTTTGGATAAAAATAATGTGATCATATTTTAAAAAATAAAACTTCGAGACAAGAAACCTCTTTGCAAACACATTTCAGTTTTAAACATGGATAAATTGCCAATTGTCATTCTCAGTGATTTGGATGTTTCACAAGCAAATAATTAACTTTGTTATTTCATTTTATATTCATTTTAAAACCTGGGCAGAGGTTGCATGAATAAAAAAGAGTTTAGCAATAAATATCCGAAAATAAGTACTAATAACTTAATACGAGATAAACATGCAAATAAATTTTGTTAAAAAAACATCTAAAAGAATTCTACTATATAGTGTGAGCCAGAAGATACTGCATTCGAAATATGAGAAGAAATTTTCTGAGGAAATAGAAATATGCTACAATTTTAAAGTCAGCGTAAGCTTTCTGTTGGGATACATCTTAAAATGATAATTTTACTACTTGATTTTTAGGCTTACCGGAAAAAGCAGCTCAATGACCCATGTGAAAAACAAGGGACTAAGAGCAGAAACGTTTACTTTGTCCGGTTTTGTTGCACCTTTAGGCATTTCTTTGACAAATTCAAGCAGCATCTTTACATTAGCCCCCTTGAAAAATTGAAGATATGCATTTGCGGCCTGTTAATATAATAAGTGCATATTATTCAATGTTTCCATAGAGTTTGTGTACATGTTACTAAAAATATCCAGGATAATTAGTGCTATGTAAGCAAAAAATCTATAGCTTCAAGCAGGTTAGTCATATTAATAAATAAAAAGATGGGTTTAGTTGACAGTGTGGTAGAAGGGCCCTTTCTACATTTCAATTTCAGAACTAAACCTCTTCTATAAACTAAAACATAAGCATGATGTAGATGAAAAGTTATGTAGTATGAGTTAATATTTATTGGAAGGATTAAAATGGTCATATGTTTAATTTAGGATAACTTAGCGAGATTGTTAACACTTATAATTTTCTATCAAAAAATCTAGATTCAGTCAGCTATTTGAATATTCAAATAGGTCTGAACTATATTTAGAATAAAGGTTAGAACACAACACAACAAGCCTTTAACCCACTAAGTGGGGTCAGCTACCTCAATCCTTTTTCTCCATTGCGTCCTATTGATTGTCATATTTTCATTTAGTTATAATAAATTAAGATCATTTTTTATATAATAAGCCCAAGTCTTTCTAGGTCTACCCCAGTCTTTCTTAACATAAGTTGAATATAAAACATTCTCCTAACCAGATCATCAGACGACCAATGTTAATGTGACCAAATCATCTAATACAACTCTTTCTAAGTTTGCCTGCCAATGGAGCTACACTAACCCTATCATAAATATATTCATTTCGTATTTTGTCTCTAAGCATAAAGCCACCATCCACCTAAGCATTCTCATCTCGACAACACTTAACTTAATTTTATGCTTTTCTTTTAAAGGCCAACATTCTGCATCATAGAGCACTGAAGATCTCACCACCATCTTCTAAAATTTTCCTTTCAGTCTAAAGGGTACTTTTCTATCACACAATAAGACCCGAAGCATTTCTCTACTTCAACTAACCAACTTGAATTCTACTAATAACTTCCCCATCTATGTCACCATCACTTTGAACAATAGACCCGAGATATCTAAAGTGTCCACACCTTTTAATAATTTAATCACCCATGATTACAACTCTGTCACTAGAGCTATTGTTACTAAAATTACATTTAATGTTTTCAATTTTAGTTCTACTCAAATGAAGGCCTTTATACTCCAAAGTAGACCTCTATAATTCAAGGTTTTTCTGAGCTCTTTCTCTAGTTTTATCCCTAAGAAGGATATCATCAGCGAAAAACATCCACCAAGGTACATCCTCCTGTAAATGTCTAGTAAGAACATCCATAACTAAAGCAAAAATACATGGGCTTAAACTCAATCCCTGATGCAATCCAACTGAAATATAAAAATATTTGGTCAATCCTCCTTCTATTTGAACACAAGTAACAACTCTAGGATACATATATTTATTGCCTTGAATGTAAGTCATATCAACACCTTTCTTCTCTAGAACTCTCCAAAGAATATCTCTTCAAACCTTATAGTGAGATTTTTCTAAGTCAACAAAAATCATATGTAGATCCTCATTATTCTTTCTGCAATTCTCCATCAAGCCTCTCAATAAATATATAACTTCCATGGTAGACTTGCCCAACATAAATACAAACTGATTATGAGAAATCTTTGTAATATGTCTTAATCTATGTTCAATTACCCTCTCCCATAAGTTTAAAAAATGACACATCAACTTAATTCCTCTATAATTTGCACATTCTTGTGCATCCCCTTTACTCTTAAAAATGGGAACCAAAATACTCTTCCTCCACTCCTCAGACATCTTTTTAGTTTTTAAAATAATATTAAGGATTTTAGTGAGCCAAGAAATTCTCAGATCTCCTAAATATCTCCACACTTCAATTAGGATATCATCAGGTTCTATAGACTTTCCACATTTGATTTTCTTTAAAGCCTCTTCAACTTCTTTTTTACTAATGCAACGGTAAAAATAAATATTTTATTATTTTTATTAATGATATTAAGTTCGCTAAGGTCGGTTGTATTTTCAGAAACTTCATTAAAAAGTTTAACAAAATTGCTCACTCACTTATGTTCAATATCTTTTTCTAAGAAAATCACTTTTTAATTTTCATCTTTAATACACTTTACTTGAGTTAAATCCTTACTTTTCTTTTCTCTATGTTTGGCTAGTTCGTACAAATATTTTTCACTCTTTTTAGTATATAATCTATCATAAAGATCACTAAAAGCAGAATTTTTTAATTAATCCATCCAAAATGTATCTTCTTCATTAAATCGTCCAAAATCTATATTCTTCATTAATCCGTTCAAAATCGTAGCCACCATGAATATTTCTAAAATTTTCTACCACTATACAGACATGTCCATTTAAATCTCCTCCAATAAACATTATTTCTTCAAGAGCTATCATTTGTATTAATTCTTTTAGATCATTCCAAAATTTTTCTTTAGAACTTATATCTAAACAAACTTGAGGAGCATAAACATTTATAATATTAAAATTTTAGTATCGAAAACAATATTAATGGCTAAAATTCTATCTCAATTATATTAATTTTTATAGCATTATCTTTCAAACTTTTATCCATAATCACACATACACCATTTTTAGTGTGACTCTTACCTGAATATGAAAGTTTAGAACCTAAACTATCAATTTCCTTAGCTTTTTCTCCAACCCATTTAGTTTCTTGAATACATAAGGTATTTATCTTTCTATGAATCATAATATCAACTAATTCCATTAATCTACCTGTGAGAGTACCTATATTCCGAGATTCAATCTTAGTATTTGTTTTATGGACTAACTTCTTTACTCGCATCCGTCCGTAATGTGAGAAATTTTGTTTATTTGACACTACACCACCCGAACGTCGATGTAACGATACTTGCACACTTTTCACTGTATTAAAGTCATATTGTGCATCGCTTTCAGGGGACGCCCTGACATTTACACAATTATCAAAATGATTCATGTTATGATTTTTTTACAAATTTTATGTTGGTCGTCGACTACCTAACGCAACCCTACACTTTTGACATTCAGAGCTTGGGACATCGTAATGACAGTGTTAGAATAATAATAAAAAAATAGAGCATGTGTAAATAAATATATTGTAAATATGAAATTTATTTGTTTTTGATGAGCCTTCACATTAAGCTTATGATATGATGAAGATAGTTATAATCTTATCATGTATAGTCAAATATGGGCAATGCTAAAGGGTGAAAAACCAAAGTAGGACTAAAGTTATGCCGAGGAAATTTTCGACCAGCTCTTGTGTTTACATTGTGACCCATTGTACTTTGCTCTTAGCAATGCTTCCATATTGATTTTGGCATTCTTGTTACAACAAGTTGTGATTAGAGGAGCAAATAGATTAATGGTCATGAAATTTGAGATAAAAAAAGTTTTACTTTTCATAGATTTTTCTTTAGAAGAACGAAGATGCGAGGCCTTTTGATTAACGTCAATTTGTGGAGGCCATAAGAAGGTGTTCGAATAATGTTGGCAATGATAAATAAAGACGCCAAATTAAAGATAGATGAATAAGCTCTTTCAACAAATTAATTTCGTTCTGCTAATGAGGTATCTTAGTTAAGAAAATCTTGAGGAAACAAAACCAATTGTAGCTCAAGCTGGAGCCCTATTTGATATAAAATCTCAAGGAAACAAACACATAGGGATAGCATTGGAGGTTTTGGAAGGCAATCCCGCTTTCTTGTGATGATATTGACAATATGAATTATTGAATATTATTATTGAATATTAGAGAAGTAATGAAACTTTAGAGGCTAAATATAATTAAAGTTTAATATTAGCGGAGACTTGTCAGTGATGGAGGATAATTTCTGCGATGTTTATGGAAGTTATGATCCATTGTAGAGACCTTGGCCTAATAGAGAAGAAAGGAGACAATGTTATAGAGGTAAAATCAATTAGGGTTTATGTGGGAAAGCCAAAATTTGAGATACCCAAAATAATGAAGGAAAATTTAGATACATATCACTAAATTCTCATGTATTTACATATCTTACTTATGCATGAAACATTAGATTAACTTTTTAAAAGTTAAAATAGTGATATTTTTTTATGTGAAATGAAAGATTTGGGTGGTCTAAACGTAAAAAGAAATTTTTTGGTGTTAGATATGTAAAAATATAAGAATTGGATGGTATGTATGTAAATGCCCCAAAAGGAAAAAGAAACAATACAAGATTAAAGTAAAGATAAGAGATAAAAATTCGTTACATTCGCTGATTGATTAAGGATATGCTTAGCCAGAAGAAACATAAAAATATATCAAATACTTTAATTTTTAGTTAATGATAATGAATTACTTTATTTATCTGAATTTTATTTTTAATTCATGCTATTATGACTTCAATGCATATATGTTATTCACTTTAAAAAATAAGTTATTTGTTCTGGTAATCATAACATACTGCGTTTGAAGCACGAAAAATCCGAAGGAGAAGGTCATTGTTCCTATAAGTTTCGTTATGCCAAATGGTGACATTGAAAGTGTTGCTGTCAGTGTTGGAGAAATCATAAGCTGCTCCATGAAAGCTCATGTTAATGAAAGTAAAAACATTAAAAGCCAAACATTTTCTTGATAAAATCAGCATGAAAAATGAGAAATGAACCTGCAAGTATTTCATCAATTCTCTCATCGACGTTCCCCATTTGGTAGCCCATAGATAACTCTTTGTTTATCACTGAAGAATTTTCACGCCAGAGAGCAAGTCCATTCACACATCTCACCTCTGCAAACAATTTCATCAATACAAGAGAGAGAGAACGAGAGAGAGAGAGAGAGAGAGAGAGAGAGAGAGGCAAAAACCTTGAGTAAGAGAAAGACCAGCCATCTTGATTGAAACAGGAAATTCTATGTTTGAGCTGCAATTGGGATGAACAATGTAGAGAGGTGGACTGCCCATCATGAAAGCTGGTTCGAAGTAAAATGTGGTTGGAAGCATTTCTGATGTTCCCTGAAAAGACGAGATTTTAAAAGCAAAGATTATAATTTTTTTTGGTAAAATTGTCATAAAAAACAAGCGAAATGAAATTCAACTGGCTTACCAACATAAATTCAGATGCGACGACCTGAGGGCTCACATAATCTGAAGGCTTCTCCAACTTTTTGCTTCCAAAAAGATTTCTTCCTATGCCTGTCATTTTCTCTCGTAAATCAGAATTTGCAGATTGAATTACAATCATAACTTTACTATTTCATGGTGAGCCAGAAGCTTACTCTGCGCCAAACTACGGTTTTGCCCGGTGATTAATATAGTGACAGGGCAAGATTTATTTTTCAGACAAGAATGAGGTGGAAGTCCAGAGTTGTAAATTGAAGAAGAAGAAGAAGAACTTCTACTCTTTGTTGCACGAAATTGAGGCATTGGTATCTGAAACAAAACTGGCAGCTGTGCTGGGTGTGCTTCTGGGCAATATACTGAATTGCCTTGCAACATATCAAGAGCACTGGAGCATTTATCTTCACAAGATTCTTGGTTTGGATCATCCATGCAATCCCCACAATCACAATGTATCTCAGGATCAATTATAATTAATGAGGCTAGTTTTTGAATGCCAAACAGCATCAAACACAGTAAGAGTGGGATGATAATCAGACCCAGATTTGTTCTGATGTTTCTTTTCTGGATTTATATGGATAAGGGATATATATAAGAAGAGGAATTCAATTAGAAGGAGAAAGAGTGAGAAGAGAAGGAGAGAAGATTGAAAATGAGACCTGGAAGGTGATGTTCTTCCTCGTAAGTGCATTCAACTGAGAACAAAAGCTTGAAGGTTTTGGTGATACAACATCATCCATTGAGATTTTGCCTAATATCACTGCGCACATGTACGAGACAATGAATTTAGAAAAGCCCACAAAGTCTGAAAACAATTATTAAGGGCATTTACATACATAACACTCGAATCCTATGTATTTACATATCTAACATCTAAACTTTGTTTTTTTTACATTTATACCACCAAAGTCTTTCATATCACATAAAAAAATATCAGAGATTGCAGCATCTGTGCCATTTTTATGTGAGAAAATAGCTAATGAAGGCATTTAAATACTTGAGAATCAAGTTTTACCAATTTTGAGAATGTGTATGAATAAAGGACACATTTCAAATATCTTAGGAGCAAAATGAGGAAAATACTTTATTTTTGACATGTATAAAACTATAAAACTTAAGGTCCTTTTTAGTTATGATGAACACTAAAGCGGGAACACAAGTAAATTCTTATTAAAAAACCTTTCAACATTTTTCATCTATATTTGAAATTGACATTATGAATTAAAAAAATTGAATTAATTAATATAATAAGATAAAATTTATAATAATAAAAGAAATTATAATTTATAAAATTTGAACATTAATGTCATGTTTTTTTTTTGTAAATAAAATCTATCTGAACATTTGATATTTAAAAATATGAAATTTAATAATTAAATTAAAATAAGGTTTTCTAATTTTTTAAATTGAAGGAAATTGATTTGTCCGTAATAATTCAAATAAACTTAGTTTTAGTTTATATTAAGTAATCAAATCGATTCTAATCAATTAATGTATATATTTTTATTCAAATTAATATTTTCAAATGCATAATTTTCATGAGCCTAAAAATATAATTTATTTCAAGAAGATTTTATAAATTCAGACTAAGAATATATATATATTTGTATTACCTCAATGGCTAAGACATAAATTGTAGCTCTGTATCCTTCTGTTGAGCGAAGGCTAAATAATACTATGTTCCTTGATATTTTTTTAATGTATTTGTATTACCTGCAGAAATGTTCCAAATTGGGTGAAAACAAAATTGTAGCTCTGTATCCTTCTGACGAGCGAAGGCTACAATGGATAATACCTCCTGAGCAAAACCAGAGGAAACCGCCCGAGAGGGAGAGAGAAGCAGACGAAACTGACAAAGGGAGAGGATACGGGATTTACGAGATAAGAGAAAGAATGGCGCGAACAGGCTTGCCTTCCTCAATGAATTCTGGTAGGAGGGGAGCGGAAGGATAAGAAATATGGGATAGTTTCGGTGGTCTTTGTAAGCCACGATCCTATCGTTGCCTTCCCTGCTACCTCTAATGGCGACTGTATCGCGAAGGTTCGTTCACGAAGGCGATGGCTTTGAGCGAAACCGGGATGGGAAGGGAGATGAGCGAGGGTTTAGGCGGAGAATCAAAACTCACTCTTCCAAGAATCAAAACTACAAACCCACTAAGATTTATTTAATCCAATCCTGGAGGAGTTAAATCTTAAAAACCGTTTCACAATGTATTTAGTACATCTTGTTAAAACTCCTGAAGCTGTTTAGCAGAACTTAAAATCTGTTCTGATTGTTAGATTTTAACAATAAATGATTATAAAGTCTAATAAATCATTAAATTTAATTTCTTATAATATTTCAAAATACATAAAATCAACTAACATTTTAAATTCAATTAATTTTTTATTTTACATTATTGTAATTAATAATTATATATTTGCTAAACTAATTAATTATTAATATAAATTTTAATTAATTATTAATACAAATTTTATAAAATTATTTATTAAATAGAAGTTTAATATTCTTTAAAAAAAACTAATTAAATATTAATTATATTGATTAATAATTACTTATAAATTTATTGGATGAATAAAAAATGAATATTTATACTATATTAATTAATGATAAATATAAATTTATTTGATTATAACTAATCTGATAATATTTTAATTAATCAATTAAATAAAAATTAACTTAAACTATATTAAATTACAGTTGCCACTGGAGCTAGCTGAGAACTCAACGGGGGGATCGAGGCTTACAGAGACCCGAAACTCCCATTTTCGTCCTCCCCCCGTTCCTCTCCTACGCGAACCATTGAGGAAGGTAACCTCACGTCTTCCTTTTTCAAGCGAAACATCCGTCCCGGATTTACTAAATCCACCGATTCACGGGATTTAAAGCAGAAATCCGTGAAATAAAGATTTATCAAATCTGGAGCTTTATTTTTTTCCAAAATGATCGTCTGGCAAGATTTAGGTTGAATCCAGCTCTAAATCCGTTACCAGACAGGCCCTTAATCTGCTATTAAGTTCAAAACGGGCGAGAACTGAATTTGAATTTCATTTTTGTTATGATTCGGTGGGATTCAAGTTAATCTGTACTTAAATCCTACTTTCAAACACCGCCATTCTGAATCCGATCTAACAATTCAAAGATCAAGAAACAATAATCACAAGAACTTACAACTAGTCATACCTGATTCGAAGGCGACGGTGATCGGCGGTCGGCGATCAAAGTTCCTATCCTAAACGATTCTTCTTCCTCCCGGCGAAAGCTAAAACACCTTTCCGACGGTCGCACGGCCTTGCAGAGCTCAGGCGGGGAAGAATTGAAGCGGGGAAATGAAGAAAGAATAAAAAATAAATAAAATAAGTTTTGAATAAATGTTGTAACTGATGAACTTTGAATAAAAGGAGTAACCTCCTCTTAATAAATGTAGTAACTGATTTATTTGTTATTTATGATGTTTTATTTCAGTTTGTGAATGTTATATAATTATATATTAGATTATTTCTTATTATTTATCTTCTAATTGTTCATTCTAATTGAGATCTTATTATAAATCTAGCTTAAATTAATATTTTTTTCTCTCTTTTATAATAAGCAAGCAGGCTTGAACTTACGTACTTGAGCTCGAGCTCGAGCTCAAACTTGATAAAGTTAATCAAGCTCAAGTCGAGAGTGGCTCAATCTTAACTCGACTTTTCACACCTAATAAAACTGACTCTTCATGTTGCAGACTCTTTTTTTGAGTTATGAAGATGAGGAAGATAACACTAACTAAATACATGGTGGTTGACAACTGATGTGATTATCTTTCGTATTACCGTTCTTTTTTGTAATTGTATTGACTTTATGTACAAACAACTTATATTCTCACAATCTTCTGATTACATTTATTTTATTTTGGACAGAATGGATATATTTCACCATGCTGTCAGCTCTTTTTGATCAATTATATCCTGCAGCTGCTTCGTCATATAGAATCGTTGCATTTTCGGGCATGTCATTCTCATATTTGGTGATTCGATCAGCATCAACTGGTTCCTTAATACTATTAAAAGAACCAGCTACTCCTGTCTCGACCATTTCATTCTTGAAGATTTGCCTTATCCCTGAAGCCTTGTTCCTGAAGTCGTGTCTGCTCAAGCTACTAATTTGCGTGGAGAAGCATCGCTTTTAGATGGGAAGCAGCATTCAAATCAAATAGCCGGACATAAGAGTTTTATGATTGGATTTGCAAGATCCCCAGCAAGTGAATTTGCTTTCCGAAGCAGCTTTCAAAAGTAGATCTATACAAGAAGCAACAGGAGTTATAGGACTATCATTAGCCATGTTTTCCCTTGTGGAAATTGAATATTGCACGAAATATCTGTCAAGGTGAATAAGCTGCAAGCTGAAATACAAAATGCTGATTTTGTAGCCTCTCAATCAAGTTCATTGACTGATCCTTAAGAAGCTTAATAAAGGCATTACGGAGCAAAAGCATGACCAGAGCCTTAGAAACATGACGCTAAATCAAATAGCATTATCAGTCGGGGTCTCCATTGAGCCATCAGAAACAAGAAAAGATCTTGATTCCTTGAGAAAGGAAAGGCAAGAGGCTGCTGCTCGTAAAGAGATATCCAGCAATGAATTTGAAATTAAGAAACAACATGAACTCCTTAATCAGCATCAAACATAGCTACCTGCACCCATGGCTACCATTCTGAAGGGAGTGAGACGGAGCAGGGTGCTCTGCTCGGGTGGCTGATATGAGGAGGCCTGAGTTTAGGGTGGTTATTTTGAAATATTTGATGTTTGGGTTGTTTGTTTGTGATTTATGAAGTTTTAGGTGATGTGTATACAGACCAATCCAAGTAACTCCCACTCTTATTATTTGATGTAAAATTTCTCTTACATAAATCATGATAATTATGTCATTTAAATTTGCCCAAGAAGAATTAATTTAATTATCTGAAAATATTTTAATCTAATAATTGTATTTGAATTCCCAATTTTATTTAATATGATTATTAAATGAAGCAAAAATCTGAATATTTTATCCTTTTTTTTTTTTATGATTTACATATAAGATTACGATGAAGGCTAAAAAGAAAGAAAGACAACATACAAAATAAAAGTATAGAAAAGGAATTGCAAATAAAGACTCAACAAAAGAAGACACAACAAGCTTGATGAGGAAGGAGCCTGGGCGGTGGTGCAAGGCAAACGGTTGCGGTGAAGGCCGGAGAGGTGTATCGCTTTTGTGGAAAAGATGGGCAACAAATCAACGAGGGTAGGGGCGTCGAACTTTTGTTGTAGAAAGCTTAAAGGGTAGCGGTGTTTGTGACCTTCAGGGAAGCTGCAGGGATAGTTCGTTGGTCTGTTTTGGAGTGACTCTATCAAGGGCATCGGTGGTTTTGGCCTGCAGGGAAACTGTAGGGAGAGTTAGTTGGCATGTTGTTTGCTGTCGTGGTTGTTGCGGCCTGCTGGAAGAGCAGGTCTGCTGGTGACTAAAGGCTGTGGCGGTCTGCTGGAAGAGCAGGACCTGACAACCTGCTAGTGGCTGAAGGGTCGCGACAACCTGCTGAAAGACCAGGGGGCGACGACGATCTTTAGGAGTGCAGGGAGATTGGTGGGGTCTGTAGGGTTGAGAAGTGGTTGACAACAACAGGGAGGATAGACGAGAATATAAATATTTCAGCTGGGTTGAGCTACAGCTGAAGCCCCATCTGGATTCGTGAAGAAGATTACCACTTCGGACGAGGGAATGCCGGAATACTACCTCAATGTTGAATACATCCCTCGAAGGGAAAATGTCAAGATTAAAGCCTGAATTCAGATATCAAAACAAGACTGCTAACTCTAAGCATATCACTTCTTATTTTACTGACGTAGTAAATAGAGAATTGTCATTTGTTCTCTTCCCTGACGAATACTGAGATAATAGCCACCTTGCGTACTCCCAAATAGAAGTATAATTCTCCTTCAGGATTCGAACATAAGTAGAGGTAGAGATGCTAGCAATTCTTTGAGCTATGTGAAAACTTGTTCACATTCATTGGTCCATACAAATTGATTAGCACTTCTAATGCTCTTGAAGAATATGAAACAATGGTCTCCATATTTGGATATGAATCGACAAAGACCTGCCATAAGTTCTATGTGAACCTACATTCCTTTCAAGTTTCTTGGCGGAGGCATTTGAAGAATGACTTGTATTTTTTTTGGTCCGGCTTAATGTAAAGATAAATTATTCAAATTTAATATATCTTGAGCATATTTTATATTAATATTATTTTTAAACTGGTCGGTTCTCGAGCTAATGAGTCGAGTCGGGGCTAGCATGAGCTTGGCTTGTTAGCTCGTCGAGCTTAGTTCATGAGCTACTTAATAAGTCGAATTTGAACAAGCTCAAGCGTCGACTTGACTCACTTACACCCCTAATTGGCCCCGTGTCATTAACATTACATAGTGAATTATTTCAATTGGGCTAGGGCTCGTAGGGTTTTTCTCTTTTGAGGATTTTTTCACGTAAAAAAATTATGATAATTCTACCTTTCAATTTAATTACACGTGTATGTGTTTGATTTTCATCCAAAATGATTAAATTATTACTCAACCGTGGCGATTATTTCGGCACACATCACACCTAAACTCTGCTGTAAACATTTACACCATCCAAATTTTTCATATCACATAGGGTTAGGGTTGGCATATATATAAAAGTTAAATTCTAGGTGTTAGATATGTAAATATCTAAGAACGAGTGGTATACCATGTAAATCTTGTTAATAAAAAGAGGCATTTTCAGCCCTAAAGGGTCAAAACAGCACATTAGATCTTCTACTTCAAAACGACGAGGTACCTGCTCCAGCCAGGCAGCTTAAATCCCTGCGACTTTTCTCCCCAAGCACTGAAGATTGGAAGGCGGCGAGGCTTTGCGAACTGGTAAATGACGAACTATCCTCACTCTTCCTTTCTTGAACTATTTGATCGAGGTTTTCTCGCGAAATAAAATAATTTGTCGCGTGAGTCTCGAAATGGTGGGAATAAGAGTGTGTTTGGGGAGAAATGGCTGCAGAGGATTCCAGGCTCTGTACAATTGGCACTGCAATAGGTTAAAAACAAATTTCCTTTTAGCTTTGCTTCTACGCTTTGTGTAAATTTGGATTTTGATTTAATCATTAGGTTGAAGCAGAAGAAAGGTTAATTCTTGCTACAATTTTCTGTTTTTTGTTTTTTTTTTTCTAATTACTTTCAAACGTTGGTTTCTTATGGTATAGGGTTATATTAGTAGTGTGAAGAATATTGATATTTCGATCAATAGTGTTGCATCCAAATTTGTTCAGTGGAAAACAGGCTGAGCCATAATTGAGATTGTTGGCCAGGTAGGAGGGGAACACTTAATTTGGTTTCTTATATGTAAGATCTACTTTGAAAATTAATTTTTATTAATATAGTTGGTGTGGAAGTGTAAGAAGCGAAGATATGATCTTCATGTGCTTTTTTTGGGTGGGAATTTACATACTTAACGATCAACTCTTATGCATTTACATATCTAATATCTAAGCACTGTTTTTTAAATTTATACCACTCAAATCTTTCCTATCACATCAAAGATACCACCATTTTAACTTTTAAGAAGTGCAGTACACCTTTTATTGTTTAGGTAAGGTGGTTATGTATGTAAAAGTTGAAATTTAGGTATTAGATATGTAAATACATAAAAATTGAGTGGGATGTATGTAAATCTTCCTTTTTTTTGTTTTGAACAAGCATATATTTGAATACTACAAGAATTAATTTGTAGTTAACTAAGGAAAAAATATGATCAAATTTATGTTAATGTTTTTAAAGATATGAAGGATGGAACATTAACACATATTAGGAATGAGTATGGAGTGCCATAAGAGTTTCAAATTACATTAGAATATTATCGGTCAACTTTTCTTTTGATTTTGAAAATAGAAAATATTTTTTGAAAATTTAATTTAATATAAGAGATATATATTTTGGGTTTTAAAAGTAGCGTATTTTAATTTTGAAAAAAATGAGACCAAATAAATCTCATTCGTCTAATAGTTTGCATAATCGTGCCCTATACCATGAATACTACACATTTTTGAAAGACGAGTGTACATCCCGACGATAGACTCAATTCTGCAAACTAAGAGATTTGTGACATCTGTTTGGTCTGTGAACATTTTATGTGGAACCGACAAGTTTCCCTATCTAATACAAAAATTAAATATAGTTTATTTTACGTGGGTTCTAAGTTCTTTATAAAGACAAACCCCTTTAATTAATTACATCTTAAATAACTGAGGTCACTTGAAAAAACTCTTGATAATCAAGATTTTAAGGTTTGGATTTTCACGGTAGGACGTGGAAAAGTAAGTGACAATTATTTTAAATAGTCCAAAATAAGGAAAAGGTAGGGAATGTCACAGATCCTGAAGAGAAACTTCAGTAACTTTCCAAACTATCCTAATGTGTGGCTGAGTTTTGAAAACAATGTTATTTAGGTGTTTAATCATGCCAATTTTATTATTTGTGACTTACATTTGCATAATATCCGATTATGCAAACAGCCCGCAGAGATAAGATGGTTTATGTCCTGTCACACGACAACCTCGGAAAATAAGACGAGCTAGGTTAAAGAGGGTGTGAGGACTTACGTCGCGCTGGGCGAGCTACCTCGAAGTCCTATGAGTTGTTATTTAGAACAAGGAGAGAGAGATTATTGAAGATCATTTTGTTGCTCAATCCAAACTTTTTGCCATGTTGCCCACAAAGCTGACTTGAAGCTCCTCGTCGAAGTAGCTGTCTTAAAGTCTAAGGTTCAAAAGATTTTACCAGGTGTGTTTTAAAATTTTGGTTTTGTTGTCATTCAAGCATTATGAGGGGGTTAAAGTTGATTAAAGCCACACCGGTTAGAATCACATGGTTCCCTCATTCCGGTACAATTATTTTCTATTGAATATACTTAGTTTAAACGAGTTGTTAAGCTCATTTAAACTGGGGAGTTCTCGTTAGCAACCATGGTTACCTCATCCGAGGGACTCCCGTAAATTCAAAAAGACGTGTTATGTTTTTTTGTTTTGCTTTGAAAATGTTGTTTAATTTTTTGAAAATTATTTTTTTAAAATGAAATCGCAACCAGGCCTGCATGATATGTTAATACAAGTGTAAACTGTAGTGATAAAATAACAATAAATAAAATGTACTTACGTACCTGACGTATCTGTTGCTGTTGTCTTTACTGTGTGTTTAACTCACAAAACATAATATAATTTGCAGTGAATTTAAATAAAGTGCAGAAAAAAGAAGAAAATATGAATTTTAGTATAAAAAGCAACAGAACAAGTGGTGACAGCAGCCAAAAACTTCAAACAAGTGATCCTAAAGCTTCCTACAACTCCGGACAACAGCTAGGAACTCCCAACGGTGATCCTAAGGCTTCCTACGACTTTGGGCAGCATCTAGCAAGCCTACACTGCGATCCTACGATCTCTTACGGCTCCGGGCAACAACTAACAAGCTTGTACGGTGATTCTACAAACTCCTACGACTCTGGGCAACAACTAACAAGTTATCTCATACGGCTCCGGGCAGCAACTAGCAAGTTCTCACAGCCCCAACACAACCCAAGATAAGGTGCATTTAAAGGCTCCAAGACTGTAGCAAAATCAGCCCAAAACAGCATAAAATAATGACAAAACACTCCTAAAAAGGTACTAAAATTGCAGCGAAATTAGTCCCAAAACATCTCCAAACTAGGTGCGTTTTAAAGGCTCCAAAACTGTAACAAGCTCACCCCAAAATAGTCCTAAAACAGTGACAAACCCCTCCTAAAAAGGTATCAAAACTGCAGCGAAACCAGTCCCAAAACATCTCCAAACAAGGTGCATTTTAAAGGCTCCAAAACTGTAGCAAGCTCACCCCAAAACAGTCCGAACACAACCCATGACAGGTGCATTTAAAGACTCCAAAACTGTAGCAAGCTCACCCCAAAACAGTCCTAAAACAGTGACCAAACCTCTTTTAAAAGGTATAAAAACTGCAGCAAAACTAATCTAAACCAGTCCCAAAACAGCGACAAAACCATCCTAAAAAGGTACCAAAACTGCTCCGGTTCTTGTAATCAGAATTGCTAGGTTCTGAACCAGTTGCAGGCTTAAAAACAAAGAAATCATCAGTATTATCATAAATTAAGTTCTCCCAGTCACTTATGGTTTGGACTACCATTATCAGCTTGTGCAGTTTGAGAAAAATCAGGTTGAGATGGGCTTTCATCCACAAGATCAATGGAAGAATCATTCAGAGAGCAAGTTATATTGCAATTTTCTTGGGCAAGCACAAAAGAAGTGGAAAGTACAGCATTATTTGGAGCTAAAGAATATAAGTTGTTTTCATCCAAACTATTAGAGTGGGTGAGGCGAGCGGGATCGAGAAGAAAGGATCTCTTCGGTCGAGCGAGGAAGGAGGGACTCAAGATCGAGAGATGAAGAGGGAGTTCGGTTCGTAGAGACGAGTCGCAGAGGCGAGCAGGCGTGCGGGATCGAGAAGAAAGGAGCTCTTCGGTCGAGTGAGAGGAGGAAGGCGAACGTTTCTGTTCGCAGAAGAGGAGCGGGGGCCGAACAGAGGAGGAGCGGGTGAGGCGAGCGGGAGGGCCATTTAGCGTGTGTTGGGCTGGGAATTAAATAGTTTCAATAGGACAGAGGAGTTTTATTTGACTGGTAATAAATTTCAAATGAATTTAATTATGGTGAAATTAAATGACTTATTTTAATTCGAAAATTTAAAATTCAAAACTGTTTAATCAGCCCGGGTCCGGCCCAAATCTCCTTCGAGTTGAACCTGGGTTGAGCCCGGGTCTGCGCCCCGCTAATTGAAAAAAAACATGCATCAATTTTCGTGCTAATTGCTCGCACGCGAAACTATAGCAATATGGGTGTCCATCTTAACTAAAGTCAATGTCCCGGACGCATCTGTGTGGTATGTTTTGTCATCCAGGGTCGTCCGGACGAGTTCGCCTACGGGCAAGTCAATTCAAGTCAAAATCATGCGTGGTGTATTGAGTGCGCCAAATGGGGCGTTGTGAGGGTTCAAATCGCAAGAGGTTTCTTTAGGGGTTGCTCCTATTATTGTAGGAACTCAATTTGAATTTCATATGTCGGTTCTAACCAACTCAGCAAAATGCCAAGTTTTCGGAACCGCCCATACAAGACTCGAAGGAGTGACGAGGTGGCTCGAACTTTCTAAATGGTGTGAATCTTGTACTAGTCCTCTGGCAAGGTCAAACAAGGGAAGTCTAAAGCTAGACCCTAAGCTCTAAGGAGAGAAGTGAAGACCTCACCCGAAGATGAGGTCAACAAATGTCTAATTACAATTATTTATCTTTGTTATGAAGATGCTAATGAAGGATATCCAAAGTAAGTTGCATTAGTGCATATTTTTTGTAAATGATACAGCTTCCAATTTGTGAGCTATTCAATGAAGTGGAGTGAAAAGTTAGAATGTTGATGGAAATATTTTGAAGATAAAGGACTTAATTAATTGAAAAAATATTAAATATATAATATTCAGTTATAGTTTCTATGAAATAAGTAAGTATAATTTAATAATATTAGAAGATAAGTTGATATCTAGTTGAGATATATTTGAGTTTCTTGGATTTATTATATAAGAGAATGCAGACATAGATGAGGGTGTGACCTCTAGAGTTAAGGTTGTATAGCTAAATTAGGGCAACGCTACCGGAATTTTGTATGACAAAATGATATCGTAGAGATTGAAAGATAAAATTCATAAAAGTGCAATTAGGTTGAAGATGTTACATGAATATGATTGTTGCCTAATAAAAACATTATTGATATCTAAGTTGAGCGTGATAGGAATGAATGCTAAGATGTATGTATGTCAAAACTAATAAGAATAAATTAATAAATTATTAAATTAGAAAAAATGATTGAATATTAGTTAGTATAAAATAAGATAATTGAAATTTGATAGAGGATTTGAACATGTATATTAGTTAGTAGAAATGTGCTCATTATTTGATTAACTCAAAATATTGTTAGGGGGTTAGGAAATATAAGCGTCAGGCCTAAAGTTACATAGACTAAAGTTGTGCAAAATGATTTGTGAAAAATATGTTTGACTCAGCCTACACTTATCATAAACAAATGAAAAATGAGGATTATAAAGCCGACCCAAATAGTTGTGACAAAGATGTGATGGTGAATACAAGATTTTAGGAAAGTATTGCATCTCCAATTCTTTGACCATATTTCTTTAGTTTCACAAGTGAAAATGAAAAAACCAAATATTAGCATGTTATGGTAACTGTTAGAGGTGCTCTTGTGTTTCATTTATACTTGCAAAATTTACATACTTCCCCTACAATTCTTATGTATTCACATATCTAACGCCCAAAGTATGATATTTATATTTACAACTCCTTGCTACTTTGTGCATAAAGCCATGCACGAAAATGTGTATTTCACTTTTAAGAAGATAGTGATGGTTATATTTTGTATGTGATGTTGAAAGTTTGAGTGGTTTGCATATAAATATGAATGTCTAGGCGTTAGATATATAAATACATAAGAATTGGTATGTATGTAAATGCCCCTTCATATTTCACATCAGCTACATCTAACCTTGTTTATTATTCACTCTGCAGATATAATTTTGAGCTCCAAATAAATTGGTGAATTTCCCCATCACAATTGTTGAGAGAATTCTCTGTGGATTCAAAGTATTAGCCTGTGGTTATATATGTAAATTGGTTATTGTTCACACGGATGCCAGCAATTTTAAATAGCATTCTGAACAGGATTGATAGCTGTTCATCCTTGAATTCATTGAAGCAAATCCAGGCTAATACTCTCGTTCATGGCCTTGGCTCCAACAATCTTGTTGCCGTAAAACTTCTGACCTTTTGTAGTCAGACTTTGGGTCTTATCGGCTACACTCGCTGCATTTTCGATACTATTTCGAGCTCCGCAAATGTTTACCTCTGGACGGCCATGATTTCTTCTTACAGCCATCAACAATCCGAGCTTTCAAGAGAGGCCGTTGAAATCTTCCGTCTGATGCTTAACCATGGAACTCATCCAAACAACTTCACTTTCTCCACTGTTCTTAAAGCCTGTTCAACATTGAAAGCCATAAGCGAAGGCAAGCAGATTCAAGCTCATTCTACTAAACTTGGATTCAATTCCGCCATTTATGTTCAAACCGCATTGCTCGACATGTATGCTAAATTCAGTTTGGTAGATGAAGCAAGATGCCTTTTTGACAGCTTGGAAGTTAAAAATGTCGCAGCTTGTAATGTTATGATCGCATGCCACATCAAGGATGGCGATGTTGAATCTGCAAGACGAATTTTTGATCGGATGACTCGAAGAGATACGATCTCATTCGCTACGTTGATATCGGGTTACTCCATGAACGGAACCATGCGACCGGCGAGGGAAGTTTTCGATCAGATGCCTGTGAAGGAAGTCAATTCCTGGAACTCTTTGCTTGTCGGCTATATTCATGGAGGAGAATGGATTCAATCCATGAAACTCTTTAATGAGATGCAGGTGAGTTTTATTAAACCCAATAATGTCACCATGGCCATTATTCTTTCTTCCTGTGGTCAATTAGGAGCTCTGGGACTTGGCAGTCAATTACACGCTTTCTCCCATAAATTTTGCTTCCTAATGAATGTTTATGTCAACAATTCTCTTGTTAATATGTATGCCAAATGTGGCAGCCTACAGGAAGCTCACAATGTGTTTGTTGAAATGCCTGAGAAAGACATAGTGTCATTTAATGCCATGATTACTGGTTTGGCTAACCATGGACTTGGCAAAAAGGCCTTGGAACTCTTTGGAGAGGTAATCCAAACAGGGCTTCAACCCGACTCAGTTACTTTTATGGGAATCTTAACGGCCTGTAGCCAATGCGGGTTAATTGAGTCGAGCCGACATTACTTCGAGTGCATGAGGAGTTATTCCATTGAGCCATCTGCCGATCACTATGCGAGCTTCGTCGATCTGTTGGGTCGAATGGGTCTTATTGAGAAGGCTTACGAGTTTGTAAAGACGGTGAAGGTTGAAGGACATGCGGGTGTTTGGGGGGCTCTTTTTAATGCTTGTAGGAGTCAAAGTAATGTTGGGATTGGTAGAATTGCAGCAAAGGAGCTCTTCAAACTTGAGCCAGAAAATTCGGGTAATTATGTAATTCTTTCAAATATATATGCTGGAGCTCATTTATGGGATGGAGTTAGAGAGGTGAGGTGCTTCATGAGGGAAAAAGGGGTGGCTAAAATAGCAGGTTGTAGTTGGATTGAGGTGAACAATGAGGTTTTTGAATTTGTAATGTGGGAGAGGGGTCTTGATTTTCTTTTTGAGGAAATGTATGCAATTTTGGGACAACTTTCTTTACAAATCATGCTTCTAAATTGGGAGTGTTATTGAAACTGTATATGCTTATACTTTTTGTTTGAGTGTTGGGTTTGTAAAATGAATTGTGAAGAATCTTTTGAAATATTTGATGTGTAGAAAAGTTAGAGGTTAAGTTTCTTATAACTATCACATTTTAATATATTAATTTTGAAAGCTACATCTCAATATATATAAGAGTTCATTAATGCAATAGAAAAGAAAATATTATTCTAACTTTCTCAAATTAAATAAGAAAATATTTAAATGAATTCAGTTGTCAATTAATATATGCCAATTGTCTTTCTATCTGTATTATAAAAAAAAAAGGTCTTATTTACAGTGGACAAATCTTAGGCTTTAAAGTGTCAACATGATATTATAAGTGCTATTTTAAATTGCGTGAAGTGCCAAAAAAAACTCTGACTATTTTATGTGAGATAGATTTATTATATGAGATCATGTTAGTCTTCGAGTTTATAGAAGTGTCAAAATAATTGTCAGACTTTTTAAATTAAAATTGAAATAGTCTGCATGAATGACTATAAAAAAACGCATTTTTAAGGTAGTATGAGAGTACTTTGGCTTGTTTATAAGTTTTGAGACTAAAATGACCCTATATAAATAGTTGGAAAATATTTTTGGCACTTAACTAATTTTAAATTGAATAATGTGATAAATTTAACATAACAATGAAACTAACATTCGCAATTTTTATAATAAATTTTATTATAAATTCAAAATAGAAAATAAAAAAATGTTGAGAGAAACCATTAAATTAAAATGAAGGGACTAGACTAAAAAAGTTATATTAAGAAATCATGTCTATTCTCACTTTTTTTTAGATTTGTTTATTTTTTCATGGAGATTAAAAAAAAAGAGCTTTCAATTCAACACATAGTCAAGTGATGCGGCAAAAAAAAAAAAAAAAAAAAAAAACAATAGATTTAAAAAATGTAATAATTATATTAATTTCTTAATTTATTAGAATTTAGAATATTAATTTATACTACATAATTATTTATTTGTTTTTTTCTGCAATAAAATAATAAAGATTGAATGGCTTGAGTATCTTATATTTTTTTATCATGAATTAGTAGTTACTTTAAATATTTCATGGCATTTGTCAGCACATATGTCAATTAGACTGCATAATATCCAAATCGTTGCTATCTGTTGTCATTTCCCATCCAATTTGCTCTTATGAAATATAATTTAAGAAAAATAAGCATTTATAAATAATTAATTCATTTTGTTTGTACTTGTCTTTTTAATTTATCTTGCGAAATAAAAACAAATAAAAATCATTAACAACATTAATATATATATATAATATATATATATCTATATATTCATGGGAGGCAATTGCCCACTCTGAGTTCTAATTTGACTGAATTTTCAGTAGAATCAAACCCAATAATTTCTAATTTGTAATAAACCTAATTGGCTCAAGTAAAACGCCAACCCTCAATAATAAAAGGGAATATTTGCATACATACCGCTCAAATCCTATGTATTTACTTATATAAGCCCCAAGCTTCAATTTTTCATATACACCACTTTACATATGCATGAAAAGGTATATTTCACTTTTCAAACATTAAAATGATGGTATTTTTGATGTGATATGATTTTTTTTGGGGTATAAATATAAAAAGTAAAAGTTACATGCCTAAAGGTCACATTATCATGTTGATGTCTTTGAATATATGCTTCATTCTAGCAGACGCCGACATTCTCATGACAACAGTTCTTAGGATTTTCTTGCTTAGAAAGAGCTTAAAGCTTAACGTAGGGAAACAAATAGATATGTTATCATAAGAAGTCATATGACCAAACACAAATTTTGATGCAACACTCTTGAATATTAAAGCTAGCATCACATAGGATAGACTTTGGAGTTAAAATGATCAAAATATAGTTTCATGATGTCAGATCATAATGTCCCTTTCATAATACATATGAGAAAAAGTGCACTTGTCAGACGATGAGAGTAACAAACCTGATTAAATAAAGATGGACAACTGAAAAACCTCTCCAGGCGACCCACGTGTTAGACTTCAAGGGATCATCATCTGATGCTGAATAGCTAAAGAAGAGTGATAGGTCGCAGGCACCCAAGATCGACTAATCTAGGCCAAGCGACTGCTAATATAACATGAATGTAAATCACCCTATGAAATTTTATTTAACAAACAACCAGGCTACCAACACCTCAAAATATATGGTTGTCACTGCTTTCAATGGCTCAAGCCCTGTCTCAACAATAAACTTTAAGCCTTTTCTAAAGAAAGTGTTTTTTCTCGGCTACGCCACTTCTTTAAAATGTTACAAATGTCAAGACCCGTCTACCAATAAAATCTACATCTCTCGTCGTGTCATTTTCAATGAATGATCTTTCCCAAACACTCTCTAAATCACATCATAATCTCCCTCCCTCAACTATACCCTCACTCTTGTTTGTCCCTTACACAACTATTCTATCAAATCAGCCCACCCATATTCATTCTAGCCGAACTGCTTCTCATTCTCCCGTTTTGGCCCTACGAACAATATATGGATGATTAACATAAACCACAGTTATCGGGTCGGCTAACAAATCACAAGTTCAAAGGAGTCGCCCACACTTATTCTTGATATCACCCGATCGACACTCAAACTCGTGATCAAGCAGCTTAAAGAGGTATGATACTTCATGAAAGTGTTGTCCTTTCAAGCTTATTGTTAGAAACGAACGATTGAACTGAATTTGTCAGGGTCCTATCCAAGCCTAAGCTTTTTGGTGAAGTTCTTTATTTTTGAATATTATAACTTGTATTTTTCAGAGTGTGATCAACTCCTATAAATAGAAAACATTGTACATAAAAAGAGAAAGATTTTCTCATTCTCATTCCTCCATTAAGTAATATTTGAGGTTCTTTCTATATTTTTACAAAGAATTTATATTTCTTTGTGTGCATTCTATTTCTTGGGTGTGACAAAAAATAAATCTGAGTTTAACACCGGAATTTAAAAATAGGTTAAAGTTGAGAGAGCTTTGATTGCAAAGACTTCTAAGTAAATATTTGTTCCAATAAATTAAAGCTCCTTATTTTCTTAAAATCTCTTCCATTATTTAAAATTTCTTCATTAAAAAAAATCAATCTTCTCTCTTAAAAATAATTATGTTATTCAATTAATTTAGCATAATTTAATATGCACAAGTGTCGCATAATAACTTATCCTGCCAGTCCAATTACTATTATACGCTGCCCGTGGCTACCCGAACTACCCGGGTCGTCTCTCTCTCACCGGTCTTTCCTCAGTCGAAAGAGAGACGTCTTCATCTTCCCTCTTGCCATCTTTGAGTGCTCTATCCTCCTCCCTATGCATCGAGCTCTCACGTCGTCCAGTAACTTCCTCCGGCCATCTCAACTTTAGGGTTCCGGAGTATCTCGCCGGGAATTCCCGAACCCCTTCTTCAAGCTCCGCCGCCCTCATTTTCTAAACGCAGAAGCGAGCGTTCATTGTGCTTTCTTCTGCGGAGGGAATCGCTGGATCTTTGTGCAGGATGAAGGTTCTAGACTCGTATGTCTTCTGAAGAGATGGGATTGGAGCCAACCTCGGCGCACGGGGATGGTTTAGTGAATTCGGCGAAGTCGAAGTGGAGAAGGAAGAAGTCGTTGAAGGATGAGGAGAAGGAGGGAAGAAAGGAAGGGTGGTGGAGTAGGTTTTACTTGGTGGGAAATTGTTGCTCGAGGTCGAAATTGGATGGCTCGGTTAGCAGTCTCCGCACGAAGAATGGTAATTTTCTAGGAAACTGTTCATTTATGAATGCCATGCCATCTTTGTCTCTTGTTATTTTGAACTCATATGCATTGATTTTGTTTCCATCTCTGCCACGATAACTGGGTTAATCTTTTCCTCCAGTATTTATGGACTCAACTACAATAATTTTACCATAAATAGAAGCCCGAAATCTTCCACGTTAATGAATATAGAAATTTTCTAATATTTTGTAGAAATTATAGGCAGTAAATTAATATCTATAGGGATATAAATAAGAACTAAAATTCTCCATTTGGATCCCCTTAGAGAAGCCTCTCATCCTCTTGATCTCTCCCTTTTTATGTTTCTCAGCAACAAACAGCTATATAGTCTTCATGCAAATGCATTCTCTAACACTCTACACACTTTTCTTCGATCTCCTATGTATATAAGATTAAGGAGATGAAAACTAAAAAAAAAATAATTCAAATAACAGATTTTTACAGCAAACATTGTAGCCATTTGTTATCGCCCTATTTTTTAAAATTTTTTGCTTATCTTGGCAATATTATTGATCAAATCTGATTGATGTTGTATAGTTTAATTCAAGGTTATAATTGATCCAAAATAGTTGGGATGAGGTGAATGACGTTGATGATTTTGACATCGAATATGATAAGATAAATTCAAGGTTAGAGATGGTTGAATTGCATGAAATTTTCTTATGTCTGTTGAAGCCCTACCTTCAACATAGCTGTGTACTTTCTTAAATTCACAAATGTCAAGCCATGGCTTCTTAGACTACTGCATTTTCTTAAGAATGAGAATAGTGGTCATTATGCAGATCCGGTACTAAAATGACATCATGTAAAGAGTCAGGCGACTATTTGATGCTTTGCTCTTGAATAAAACTTTTGTCGTCTAAGCTGATCTCTTATTTAGACCAACTAAATGGCAATATTTTCTCAATTAGTACCTTTTGTAAGGCTTAGGTGAAGATTTCCAGAAATTTCTTATACTTTTTTGGAACAAAGCCCTTTTGGCTTTATTTTTTTTCTTCCTTTAATGGTTCAGCTGAAAGCAAATCAATAAGGAATGGTAGCAGAGATCAACCAACGACGATCGTAGTCTCCGGTTCTACAACCTACTGCACCGAAGAAAGCTGTGTATCTACTCCGAGGTGCTTGTCAGGAGCTAAGAGTTGCTTCTCAGCTCCGTAGGTTCACTTTTAATGAGCTCAAATGTGCAACAAGAAACTTTAGACCTGAAAGTCTTCTTGGTGAGGGAGGCTTTGGTTGCGTTTTCAAGGGATGGGTTGAGGAGAACGGAACTGCTCCCATGAAACCTGGTTCAGGACTTACTGTTGCTGTCAAGACCCTTAATCATGATGGACTTCAAGGGCATAAAGAGTGGCTGGTAGAGGGAATTCTTCTTTGAACTTTATTTATTTATATATTTTGTTTATTTTCTTACCTTGGATTTTTTTTTCCCGCAGGCTGAAGTTAATTTTCTTGGTGACCTGATTCATCCAAATCTAGTGAAGTTGATAGGATATTGCATTGAAGATGATCAAAGGTTGCTAGTTTATGAGTTTATGCCTAGAGGAAGTTTGGAGAATCATCTTTTCAGAAGTAAATTTATCATACTCTTCTTTGTTCATTTTTTTATGTTGCATTCCATCCCCTTTTTCGTTCACAATAGTTGGTGCACTATATGGAATGTATTTTAAGAAGATTTACATGCATATCACTCAATTCATATTTATTTATATATCTAACACATAAACTTCGATTTTTAAATACATGCCGCCTTACCTTTGCATGAGATGGTGCATTTCACTTTTTAAGAGTTAAAATGGTGGTATTTTTGATGTGATTTGAAGATTTTGGTGGTATAAACGTACAAAATAAAGTTTAGGCGTTTGATATGTAAATAGATAGGAATTGATGTTATTCTGGTAAATGCCTCTACATTTTATGGAACAACTTGTAGGCTGATTTGCACTACTTGATTTACCAGAACTTATTCCAATAAATGGAACATAGGATTTTGAAATGAATGCTATCATAGCCTTATGATAGTGCACACTTATAGAAATGCTGTCTTTTTTTGACATAACTATGAAACTCAACCAGTAGTTGATTTAGCCGTGAAATAGATTATTTCAAGGCTTATGCTTATGGTATTTGTCTTCTAATATCCCTTAGCAACCCAGCCATTATTTTGGAGGAGATTTAGAAAGGTGGTATAGGTAGGGTCAGCAAAACCAATGAGAACTCGTCTCGGCTAATTCCCTGTAGGCTGATGGGGTTGAAGCCATTTGGAGAAGATGGAGGAATTTTTAAGTTATTGATATTTATTTTATGAGATTATTCAAGAGTTTTAAGTACTAGAATCATAAGCAACAGCAAGACTAAATCTTAGTCTAGCTGATTTGACACGTGGATTAAGTTTTTTTAATTTCTTAGGTAGGTTGGTTGAAAAAGGTTGAAAGAGGTGTAGGGTTGTTTTTAGTTTAAGTTTTGTTGCTATTTTTCAAGGAATTTTAGTAGTGCAAATGATGGCTAAACCAGTACTAGGTCTTTTGGAAACTTAGATTAGGCCGACTTTGGAAGACTCAGCATATCTTCCAATTTTATTTATAGGAGAAGATGGATTTTGGCCATGGTATGATATATTCAATGTAGGATTAGATTAGATTTAAAGTTTATTAAGAACTAACATAAGAAAAAACTTGAAATTTTTCTTATTCTCACCTAATCAAAGCGTCTCAGACAAAATGTTAAAGAAAAGGGAATTTTTTCGAACCCCTCTAAAAGCTTTTTATTGAAAAATTCAAATCCCTAAGAAATTGGAATGGTTCTTTGAATGTACGAGGTGGTTGAGGGTTCTTGGTGATGTAGAGGCATGTCACTTCTTTTGAGGAGAGTGAACTGAGTTGATACTGTGGTGAGTGGGTTGATGTGACAATTTTGTTGGATTAACATGAAACCTTCCATGGCTGTCCTTTCATGTTGGAATTTATTTCATATTAATTTTCAATTCTCTCCTAGTAAATTATGGCTCCAAAAGAATCAAGACCAGGCTAATTTATGCAATTGACTAGTCTTAATTGTCTCCACCTTCTTGCATACTATGACCCTCGATATCTTTGACATATAGAAGCGATTTTATACATAAATTTACACCCATTACATGCACAATAATATATAAGAAGCCTTGGACTCAATACAATGCTTACACTTATATAATACTAGATATATTAAATCTCAATATAAATGCAAAGACTCGTGCTTTCTCTAATACATTTTTTCTCGAGTAACCTATCCACTTGTCTGATAATTTTAAGCTATTTTTAGGTAAATTATGCAATGCTGATTCAGGAATTAAGTCAATAGAATGCTGGATGTACATAAGTGAAGATAATTCATTAGCAAGTTCATCAAAACAAATATATTTAATATCAACTAACACTTGATTAATATCATCAGGCAAAATCATAGCTTCAGGTATCACATTATTCAACTCAACGACTATGAAGGCATAATCACACCACCTGCCTTAACTCTTTTCTAACTGTGTGCTTGCTCAAAATACGTGGACTTTTTAACTTTATAGCTCTAGATTTTTTATGTTTATTTAAATTTTTCCTTAGGCTTTGTAGATTTCAAAATTGTCCTTTTCCTATTGATCTTGAAAGCATATACATCAGACCTTTGAAAATGAATAATATCTAAATTATCAACCAAAGCACCCAAAATAACATGGCCTAAGTCTATGGGGAACTTATCACATTTGATTCTATTAATGCATTAGAAGTTAGCCAACCTTTGAGGCACATATTTATTAGTATTATCTAACAAATTATTTTATATAATTTTTGGATGTGGTCCAAGTTTCAAATTCTTGCACTTTGGAGAAGTCTTAGATGTAACGTTCATAAGATTCCTACAATTCAAATAACTATAGTCCCCTTCCAATCATGTTCAACCTTAACAGGAACTATGACGCATTCCATTATATTTAAGGAATTATTCACTTAAACATCCTCTAAATCACTAATTTCTTCATCAAATTTATGAACATTATCACAATAATTAATTATATTGTATTCTTTCACATCTATATGCAAGATTCTATCAGGTCACTCCCTTGTATAATGATCAATTTGATGACACCTAAAACTTATGTTTGCATAAATTATAGGCCTAGACATAGTCGACTTTCTGTTATTATCCGTATAGATTGTAGTGTTGCTACCCTTAAACTTGGTGTTATACTAAAGTTGATTACTTTGGCAAAATGATACTCCCTAAATATATGGTAAATCTTTTAGATGAGAAATTATAACATTTGTTCAAAGTTTAATGCAAGTTAAAAAATATGTTCAAGTGATGGATTGTGATGAGGCTCTGAGTTCATGTCGGTCAACTTTTTTTCGATTAGATTTATTTGAAAAATATGATATATGAAAATAATTTTTGAGATTTAATTTAAATATAAAAGATATATAGTTTGGGTTTTGAAAGTAGTATGTTTTAATTTTTGAAAAATGAGACCAAATGGATCTCATTCGTCCAATAGTTTGCATAATCGTGTCTGATACCGCGAATAC